TCTCTCTCTCTCTCTTTTAACTTTACAAGTTTATATAACAACATGTTTTTTCTTGTTCAAAAAAGTTTTGTGTGAAAAAAAAGAAATAAAGAATTAAATGTTTTCTTTTAAATTTCTCTGATTGGTCTTTTTTCATTACAGTGAGAACCATAAAACTGTGGAATATTAATAATTTGTTTTTGTGTTATTAATGTATCATGTTCATTGGACTATTTAAAGTCATAAATTAGCCTGCTTCAGCCTGCTTCAGCCATAGAATAGTAAATATCTGATGCAGTTAGGTTGTCTCCGTCTTTGTAGCCTTTGTATCAGATTTTTCTGCTTCAGCTAGCAGATAGTAATCCTCGGAACCGTGTAACGTAGTATTCTCTTAAAAAAAAACTTACAAGATTCTGCAGCGTTTTAAGGCAAAGTCTCTGATGGTAAGAGATTTCAACCAATAAGAATGCGGTCTTCTTAAAGTCGACCAATGAGAAGCCTTGGAAAATTGATTTTAGCCAATCGGAAATAGCGAAAATACAAGTCAGCTGTTTTTAACACTGAATTAATTCAAACTAAAAGATTTGGCCTCGGCCTAAGCTCAGACATTGTAGATTAGTAAAATCGTTGCTGAAAGACACCAGTAGAGGGTTGCAGAGTTTTTTTTTTCTATTGAAAAATAATACCTGGAGATATTTGGGATACTTTATCAAGAAAATAGTTGTCTCTCATAATCAGGGGATAAAATGGCCACCCATCAGTTGTTGGAATATTTTCAGTTGTTGTGACTGGACCAGCAACAGTTGTAGTTTCAGTTGTTGTTTCTGTTGTTGATTCTTCTTCCAGAAAAGCAGAATAATCAAAAACATCTGAAAAGCAAATTATGTTTGAGGTCATTTTATACTTCTTACTTTAAATCTTGTCAAATTTAATAATTTGGTATTTGGGTTTCCAAGTTTCCAAGCATCACCGAAGGCTTCCTGATGCTCTTAAAAAGGATAAACCATATAAAACTTTTGAAAATTGACTGCAGAAACTTTTTGGACCAAATTTAATGCTACACAGAAGTAGGATGTTGAAAACAGTTTACATCACAATTCTTCCATATGGAATTGATCTGAGCTGAAAACTTTAGATTGGAATATCCTTAATCCCTATCGGTTAATTAATCTGGAGATTAATAACATGAGGAGAAAAAGCATTATTCAATCTGGATATTAAGAAAAAGAGGAGATCAAGCATTAATCTCGATATCCACCATTCTAAAGTTTTCAGCTGTGGACTAATTGTCCCATATGATGTTTTCAACATTTCACACCCAGCTCTGTCACGTAAATTTCACAAGAAGAGGATCATTCATTTGGCATACAGTCCCGTTTGCCTCATATAGTCTGTATTTTTACTTTACTGCTTGCCCTGGCTAGTTGAAATTTGGCCGGTACATGAAAGGAAATGGAATATGTACCCTGCTGTGTAGCAGGAGGTAGATTTATTCTTAGTTTGGTTATAACACGTTCTGTTATTAATTTCCAAAAGTTGTAATGGCTTATCATTCCTTTCCGCTTAAGGAAAGTTTCCAATAAGGCTTTTATAGAACAAAATTGATCCAGCAAAAAAATTGATAAAATGTTTTTATTATTAGTTTTTACAAAATTAAATGGATTTAAATGTTCATCTATGACAGTGATTAGATTAAAATCTAAAGTCGGAAATGGGTTCTAAAGTGAAGGCATATCAGAATCACATTAAACTGCCTAGTAATGTAAAATAATGCAAATATGTTTGCAAAAAACTATTTGAACAAATGTAAAAGATTGACATTATTAATTTTGTAGTCTAGTAAATAAAAACAAAAATAAATATATATTTCCAACCCTGTATTTATTCTTCAATAACATTATTTTTAGAAATTATTTTGCTTTTGTTTATTTCTCTTTTCATTATTTGAATTTAGATGAGTCGGTTCGAGTGAGTCATGAAGTTTTCCAGATATTCAAATTAATATTTATTTTTATTTTGATAAAAAATAAAAACACATATTATCAAATTTAATTTGAGAATGAGCAACTGCAGGAGCTTCATTAACACAGTGCCAAGAATCATCTTTGTAGTTTTGTTTTTCATGCCCGTCGTTTGCATACCAGCTTAGACCTCATCTTTTAAAAAAGAAAATTAGATATTATATAGTTTAGTCTTTTATAAAAAATAGAAAAAAATCAGATCCTTTCTTCCCTGTTTTTGTACATTTACTATAATTTTTGTCTGGATGATCTGTTAAAACTGATAATCTAAAAAGGACTCTTGGGCATGAAAAAAAAACTACAATTGTTTGGAAAATACTTTCGTTACAGATCCTTTTTTTCAGAGTAACTTTTTTTTACAATGGATATCTTAAATAGATGAAACATTCGAAGAATGGTCATTTTAAAGTTCCTAAAATTGTCAATGAAAAAAAAAATATCTTAAAGAATAAATGCAGTCTAGAAGGAAAAATAAAAAGGCCAGGGACCATCTTTAATGAATTTGAGCTTGGTTACTGAAGAACTACAATACCACCGAAAATCTTAATTAAATACTGTTTAAAGGTTAAGTTCAAAGATTCATGACTATTTTAATTGAGGATTCAGGATTTGAACAAATGGCAGGCAGTTTAGCAACCTCTCCAAATTGTTAAAGTCTGTCTCAGGCTGTCAGAGACATGATTTTTTGACAAATAACTATCAATGCAGTTAATAATTTAAATTACCTTCAGACTTTTCAATAATATTTCCAAGAAGCAATTTGTCAGCTTCTTCTGGGCTGACCACTTTATCATCATCAATTTCAAAAATGTCTAAATAGTCAATACCTTTTTCTTTGTTTTTAAGATCTTTTAACGGAGAATGAGTTGTTGAACTTCCATAATAAAAGTATTCATAATCAGAAACATCATCTTCTTCAATATCCAGATATTCAAGTTCTTTAATATTAAACTAACTTGAAAAAAAATAAATTGTTAATGATTTAATAGTTTACCTGAATCGTCCTCAGGCTCATTTGAATCAGGGGTATTGGCGTAGTCTCTTCCACTCTCTTTTGTCACATCTTCATCTTCCTCCCTATCTACTTCTTCCGTAATTGGTTCATCTTTTTCCCCATCTACACTTTCTTCATTTACATCTTCTGGATCTACATCTTCATCATCTATATCTGCTTCATCTAAATTTTCTGTGTCTACATCTTCTGTATCAACATTTTCTTCATCTAAATTTTCATCTTCCTTCTCTCCATCCACATCTTCTTCCCCTATGTCATCTTCATCTACACCTTCATTATCTATGATGTCTTCATCTTCCTCTTCATCCCCTGAACCTGAATTTTCAAGAGCACCACCTTGGTCTCCTTCATCTGCACTATCATCTTTGCTCTTTTCATCTTCATTATCTTCTTCATATGCATCTACTAATTGAATTTGTCCATATGTTTCAGAATAATCACCTGCAGGGCTTGATTGGTTTCCTTTAGGTCTTTTGTTTTCAGTTTCGTATTCCAAATTCACTACTGTAACACTCCCATTGGAAGACTTAGAAAATCTAGTTGAACCTGTTCCCTCAGTCTTATCTGATTCTTCACCAGTCTGCGCAGTATCATTAACTACACCTCCTGTTGAACTATTTGCTGTTTGATTGTCAAGATTTTCTTCAAATTCAACACTAGTCTGATTAATTTGTGAAAAATCAGATAATGTCAAAGATTCCATTTTTTCAGTGTTTTCTTCTATTTTTGCATCTATATTAAGAGTAATATCATCTTCAGTAGGTAGAGTTGGCTGGTCAGTAGATGTTACATTTCCTGATTCTGAATCATTTCCAGAAGCAGTAACACCAGCTACAGTTGTGATCTCTGCTACAGAACTATTCTCAGATAAAGGGGAGTTCACATCCCCAGTACTGTTACTACCACTTTCTGTAGTGCTACTTTCTAATTTAGTACTAACCTTTTTTGTGCTAGGGACTTCATTACTATCCTCATATGCTCCTTCTTCAACTTCTTCAGCTTCTTCGCCATCCTCAGCGTTTTCATCAGTTTCTTCATTTCCCCCAGTTTCATCTTCAGTTCCATCATCCTCAGCCTCTGCTGCCTCATCAGCTTCTGTTTCATCATCAGTCTCTGCCTCTTCTGCTTCTGTGTCTTCTTCTGCTTCATTGTCTTCTCCCTCTTCAGTGATATTCTCTGCTGTAGTGTTACTGTCTACAATATCCCCAGCTACTGTGCTAATACTGTTTATCTCAATAATGCCTTCTGCCTCTGTTCTATTTTCTTTATCAGTGCTATTATTACCTAAATCTGTGCTACTTTCTGATACAATGCTAACTTCTGTTGAAATGCTAGCATTTGCCACAGTACTATTATCTGCTGTTGTACTATTGGTTGTTGCATTGCTTTTATCAGCGACTGTGCTACCATCTGCCACAGTGCTGCCATCTGCTTTTGTGCTAACATTTGCCACGGTGCTTCCCTCTGTCATTGTGCTGCCATCTGTCGCTGTACTGCCATCTGCCACAGTGCTTCCATCTGCCACAGTACTACCATCTGCCACAGTACTACCTGCTGCAGTACTTGCTTTTGATCCTGCAGCAGTTGTTGTCTCTTCATCATCTTCTTCTTCACCTTCGCCTTCACCCTCTTCTTTATCTTCATCCTCATTTTCTTTATCTTCCTGTGTGCTGCTATCTGTTACAGTGCTACCATCTGCCACAGTGCTAGCATCTGCCACTGTGCTACCATCTGTCACAAGAACAACATCTGCCACAGTTCCACCATCTGCCACAGTGCTACCGTCTGCCAAAGTGCTACCATCTGTCACAGTGCTACCATCTGCCACAGTGCTACCATCTGCTACAGTGCTACCATCTGCCACAGTGCTTACTTTTGCTCCTCCAGCAGTTGTTGTCTCTTCTTTGTCTTCACCCTCTTCTTCACCTTCATCCTCACTTTCTTTATCTTCCTCTTCTTCCTCAACTTCTTCTTCTTCTCCCTCTGCAGCATTTTCTTTCTCTTTCTCTTCTACTGCTCCTTCTACTTTAGCGTTTTCTTTCTCTTTATTCTCTCCTTCATCTTTTCCTTCTTCCCCTTCTTCTTCTGCTTCCTCCTCCTTGTCTCCATCCTCTTTTCCTTCTTCACCCTCTTTCTCTCCTTCCTCTTTCTCTCCTTCCTCTTTCTCTCCTTCCTCTTTTTCTCCTTCTTTTTTTTCTCCTTCTTTTTTTTCTCTTGCCTCTTTTTCTTTTTCTCCTTCTTCTTCTTTTTCCCCTTCTTCTTTTTTTTCTCCATCTTCTTCGCCCTCTTCTTCTTCTTCTTCTTCTTCTTCTTCACCTACTTCTTCTCCTTCTTCATCTCCTTCATCTTCCCCTTCTTCGATGCCTTCCTCTTCTCCTTCTTTTTCTCCTTCTTCCACACCTCCTTTTTCTTCTTCCTCTTCTCCTTCTTCTTCTCCATGGTCTTCTTCCTCCTCAACATTTTCATATTCACCTTCTTCTTCCCCTTCCTCTCCACCATCTTCATCCTCATACATTTCTTCTTCTTCGTCGTCTTCTGCTTTCTCCTCTGGCATCTCATTTGTTTCCTTATGACCATTTTCCTTCTTATTTTTGTGCTCTCCATATCCTTTATGTAATTTAGCTATTTTAAAATCATGTTACTTAGAACTAAAATTTCACTTAAAATTGAAAATTCTTTTTATTTTCCCTCACCATGTTCATCTTTCTCTCCAAGGTTGGTTTTTAATGTGTACAGGATATCATCTAACTAAAAATTTAGAAAGTATTTTTTCAACTGAAATATGTCTAAAACAGTTATCTATTCTTCTGTTTCATTTCATTTACTTCAGACTAGGGTTTCCAGCAAAAGGGGGAAAGTGTTAAAAAAAATTTCGCATTTTTTGCATTTCGTTTACTCGCAAAAAATGCTAAAATCTTCCAGGTTAAACAAGCAAAACCAAAAATTCCCTGCCGGCCCCGAACCCCTTGAATTAAAAACTTTGCATGCCCCAGAAGAAAATTTACCTTACCTCCACTTCTCCTGTTTCTGAAATTAAGTCCATCGCAATATTAAACCTGAATATAGGTCAAATTTTAATCCTCATATTTAGAATTGGATTTTGATTTGGAATTGGATTTGTATTGGAATTTCTCTTTCTATAGAATGTGTTTCATCAAACTGGATCTTTCTTCGAAACTTTGAATTTTAAGTGATTATTAAGTACTGAATTCTTGAATAGCAGTTGATTTGCATATCTATGAAGTCTCAATGGCAGAAAACATACTTTTTTGTCTTCTGGTTGGACAGACCTTAAGAGATTACCAAAAGGAATCAACTGCTATTGTTGGACTACCAAAGAAGATGTGTATTGTTTGCACTTCTTTAAAATTCCTGTCAGAAGAGGATAAAGTTCATGAAAAAAAACCACTCTGGCAAGTCTGGTAATTATCCAGCTTGAGTCCAAGTCAGCGCATATTCAGGATTTGAGACAGATTAAGAAAAAAAAGAATATTCTCCCTGGATGGGACCAAGAGTACCTGTACCCCCCTGAATATGCTATGGGATTGAATCTATCATTTTAGGATTGTGTCTTTATTAAGGTCTTTGAGGAGATGCAGACTAATTTTACAAAATACTTACAAAGTTATTTTTTGCTTTCTTGTTAGCTCTGGATCTGACGTGATATCCCGGAGAATATTGGCAAACTTGATCACCTAATCAAGGTTACTGTAAAATCATAAACAAATAAAGTGTAACAAAGTAATAACAAAAGCATGACATGATAGTTGTTACCAAGGATATATGGAACTGTGACATTAAAACAGCTTTTAACCAGTTATTTATAAGAAACATCATTTAGACAAATAATGGTTGGCCCTCCTATATATAATCTGATTGTAATTATAGAGCACAAACCTTTGGGATTGTTTAAGAAGAATCAAGATCCTTTGCTTTACTAACCCAGGGAATTAGACTCAGTCCTAATTGAGGCCTGAAAACCCTCTGAAAATCATGGATTTCACTGATCAAGGGGGACTATGACCCCATAGCCCCCCCCCCCGTCTTAGTTCATGCCTATGGTCTTAACCATGTCCCCCTATCCTTAAAAGTTAGTTCTTCTGTTATATGATATTATGGATTACCTTCTTATGCTTGTTTGTTCCTGCCACTACTGGTAGACGTCTGATTAGAGTATCTTTTGGTAAGTTGGGACTAAAATCTGCAATGTAGCGTCTGGCAGGGGCCGGCTGTGCTCTCAATATAATAAGAGATACAAATTAAATTTTGCTATGGTAAACAAGTTAATCTAAATTTAGATATTAAGGCAAAACTTTGAAAGATGATAGTGCTGAACAGAGATTTAACTCTATGAATGAGAGACATTTGTCTATTTCTATCAGCAACGAGGAATCTTCGAGAGGGAAATCACATGTTTAAGATACAAAAGCTTTTTTCAAAATGGAAGAGTTAGTTTGATCTTTCGTTTGTTTACTTTATACATTAAAAATACCTTTCCACTCCAAGGGGAGAATTGACCCCAAAGTTTATGTTGATTTGGTTTTCATGATGGGGCTCAGCATCTAGTCCATAGACTTCTAAAGAAATGATATCATTTAGTACTTTAGTTTGGCCATGTTAACTGTGTTTTTTTAACTACTTAAATTCACAACTGCAGTCTAACATTCTTAGTTCATATTGTCTTATTCTCAGATTTGTACCCCCCCCCCCTCCGGCAACAGTAAACATTTTTGCTTAGAACAACCAGTCCAGTTTGTCTGAACTGACTCTTTTTAATTTAAAAAGGAAAAAATAAAACATGCAGAGCTGAAAACTTTAGAATGGGATATCCTTAATCCTGATCTGTTAATTAATCCGGAGATTAATAACATGAGGAGAACAAGCAATTTTAATCTGGAGATTAAGAAAAAGAGGAGATCAAGCATTGATATCGGTTTTCACGATTTAAAATTTTCCAGCACAGAAAACACATTTGTTAAACTTTTGAAAAATGTATACAATGTGTCCCAGTAAACATGAAAAATGTATACAATGTGTCACAATAAACATTACAACCTGCATTCTTAGTAATAAGAGAGATAAAACAACGTTAATAACAATTATCAGCTCTTTATCTTGAACAATATTATAGTTATGGCATTTATAGTCTGAAACACATTATACGCTTTGTGTTTGGTCGTCTTTTAAATGTCATGTTTCGTGGGACCCGCTGTAAATATAAAAAGTATAAGAACAACGCATCTAAGCCCTTTTTACCTAGACTTGGTGCAGTTTGGCAGAATGGTAGAATAAATAATAAAACACCAAACAACTGCATTTGAAGATAAACTGATGTAGTAGACAATGGGGCTCTCTTGTTACAACAGAAAAATTTATAAATCCTTGAAAATATTAACAATAGCTAAAACTAGTTTTGGAAAGCAAATGGAGGAAACATGTTTGAAATCCTTTCTTGTTCTTAGGAGGCTCTCACGATCATTATTCTTTATCAAAATTACAATTGTCTATGATTTTAACCATCTTTTACCACTTGTTGAACTATAGCACGTCATAGAATAAACCTATTCTTACACTTTTAATGACGGAGCTGAAAAAGTGTTGTTTTGAGGCTGTCCAATTTGATCGACTTTTCAATTTAACACAAACCCCTCCCTTGAGGCCTAAAGATGGACTTTGACACCTACTGCCTGAGTCCTTATGAATGCTGCCAGAATTTCTTATGTTTTACAAACTAGACTAAATCTATATTTAGACCTTTTTCCAGTCGTTTGATTTCAATGTTTCATATTTTTTTTCTCAAATCCTATAAAAGAAAGCAGATTGCACAAATTGCACAAAAGGCCTTAGTAAAGGTATAAGAATGCAAAACACGGTCATAACCCGATTTTTTAAGGCCAGCTGATTAGAAAAAATTCTAACTTAAAAGTTTGGGTCCTGGGGAAGTTTTAAATAAAAGTCCTTAAACTACATAACAGGCAGTATATAAAAAATAGGATTTCTAAAAGATAGTAAAGGAAGTGAGTTTTTGCCACAAACTCAAATTTTCTAACCCCTATATCTGTGCAATGTAATGGTGTAAACTTTTGATATTTCAAACTTCGACTATTTGATCTAACATAATTCATAGTTTGAAATATCAAAGGTCTGCGTAGTGTTGCGTAGAATATAGGTGTTCGAAAATCAAAGTTTGTGGCAAAAACTCAGTTCCTTTCCCAATGTGTGCCCTTTTCTTATTTGGGTTTTTAGAGCCTAAAGAAGTTACCGAATAAAAATTGTCAATTTTTCTTTGAAGAATTAATTATTATGTAAAAGTATTAATTGTAATATTTCTCTCCTGAAATCTATATTTAACAGAGAGCAGAGTAAAAGTTCAAATCTATTATTAGACCTGGTTAGGAAGTGAATCTTAGTTTAACAATTTTGTGCACTGATATTGTGCCTTTATGAGAAAAAAACAGCTGGTTTGGGTAGGCTTGCAGAAGGTTTTTGTTGAAATTAACAGAAAATTTATTAAAAAATTTCTTGAAAAAGCTAAACAATGATGTTAATTTTTCTGATTAATGTTCCAAATCCAAATTAAAATGTGTTTTTGTTTGACCAACAATCTAACCTAAGCTAGACTTAGAAAAGTGCTTTCCATGCAAGGAAGTTTTTAATATTAACGGAAAATTACATTTACAAAAGGAAAGTACCATTATCAGGGGAAAACTACCAGAAGAAAAGTCAATAAAAATATTCAGAATAAGATAATTTTAATGCCTAATCATATCTAAACAGAAATCATTGTTTTTATTTAATTTAACACCATAACATGTAATACACTGTAAATTTCTGAAGGTAACATATTCTTAAATTGTGAATACAGGTAGAGATAGGCATCTATTGAAAGAACAAACTTTATGAGAACGAATAAAATTTTTTTTTTAGAAAACGTTTTAACGGATTTCGAAAAATGTGAGAAGTCCGCGGCATTCTTAGATAGATGCGCAAGCGACAAGAGAAATAATCAAATTCAAAACAAATTAATTAAAAAATATTATAAAATATAAACTATAAACAAATGTGGCGAAAGATAATCGATGACTATAGGTTGTAATATCTGAATGATTTGTTTGAAATTAAATTTATTTTTTACGGTCTAAGTCGTATGTTGCAATTTTCTGAACTTGTATGGGCGCTAAGTTATTCGATATGAGACGTCTTTAAGAATTTTCTCCTTATAGACGCAACAGATAGAAGTAAGATTAGTAGCGTTCAAAAGCGCTTTTTTATCGCATTAAACCTATACCCCTTTCATTTTTCGCGAACACTCCCTTTAATTTTTCATAATTTTGTGGTAATATCATAGTTTATTAGATATATGGCAAAAAATTACAGTGTAGAACATGGCAAAGTTCCCATAGGAAGCAGCATTATTGAAAAAATAATGGAAAATGTTTTATTTTATTGACATTGGAGTCTTGGAGATCTTAAAAAAAAGAACACTGTTGAGTGTTGATGGCCTCATCTTACAAAAATTAAAGGTAGTGTAGGCTGATCCCACCTAGGGGTCAAAAATCATCATACAAAGTAAATTGTAAATTAAAAAAATTAAAAAAATTATATTTAAATCACATTTCAAATGCACTCAATTGAATTTGACATTTATACCTTTTTATATCTAAATGATTAATTTGAATTTAATTGACTTATTATTAATTGGTTTTTTTTGGGTGGAACAATGAAATTCCACATCGGTTCTAACTTCTGTATAGAGACGGGGTTTTAAACATGATCTCATTATATACGCAACAGAGTAACAAATTAACGGCTATCACTATTAACGCTTATAGTTGCTAAGGCCTACTTTTAATGATCACTAATGACAGGCTACACAGTATTTAAATTTAAGTCATTCATGAAACAAAACAACTAAGGATATTGTGTCTTTGCCACAAACTAAAATGTTCTAATCCCTTCATCTTTGCAATCTAAAGGTGTAAACGTGTAAACTACAAACTCAGGTTATTTAATTTAACATAAATCAAAATTTCAGATATCTAAGGTCTACGACATCAAGTTTTAAATTTTTCTTATGTTTCAAAGCAATTGTCCATCCACGAGAGAATCCATAAAGATAACAACAATTATTTAAATACTAGATAAAGTCAAATAATTGTAAAAAAAATCTTTCGCTGATTGAAACAAACTGGTGAAATATTACAAACGACTTTACTCTTATTAAAAAATTGTACACCGTAATAATATCTCAATCAATGGTATCAAATGAATCCTTAAGTTTTCCTCGTTAATGCCGCACTTCACGGGCAGCCGTAGTACATTTGAATTTCCGAGCCGGGTTAACCTTTCCGTTCCCAGCTTGTACTGTATCGCTTGGACATTGGGTAAATAAAGCAGGCAATCAATAGGACTAGATGGTGCAACAAGGCAGACTTTAGGTTGAATTTACTTTTACTGAAGGGTCAGAGGTGTGTGACTTTCAGCTCGACTACCATGTCTAGCAAGTCACTCCCTTTTTAACTACACCAATCACTTCTTTTAAACTAATTGCTGGATGAAAGCGCTCAATTCTTCTTGTTCAGGGATAAAAACAAAACTTCGAATTAAGTTTGAAAGGTTACGTTACAAGTTAAATCCAAGAACTTACTACTGTTTAAGTGTGTGCTAATTATCGAAGATTTAACAAAATAACGCACAGCTGTTCAAGGAATCAAATCATGGGGTATTTGTTTCCAAAAATAGATTGGGCTTTTCCAGGGCCCAAATCTTCCTGTAAAATCCACCAGAGCTCTGACGTCAGAAAACTGTGACGAAAAGAAGTCGTATCCAGCCAGAGAAAATAGATAGATACATAGATAGAATAGTCCAAAGAAGAAAATTAAAGACAGTTTTATAAATGTATGTACTTAATGAAAATAAAAATAGCTCGGATATATAGAAGTTAGATAGGATAGATACAAGATAGCTATGGAATAAATAGAAGATAGCCAGAAAAAAATAGAGAATAGTTTAAATAAATAGAAGATAGCTAGGACAACAGAAGATTGCAAGAATAAATAGAAGATAAAGTTAAATTAAGTTAAAGCTTATCTAATATTCAAGTTATATTTATGCATTAAATTCATAAATCATGATTCATAATTCATAATTCATAATAAACATATCATAATTTATGACAATAACATTATTGTTAAAGAGAGGTCACTGCCTTGATATCTCGGAATATCCAGGACTGATAAACAGGGCTTAATAGCAGGGAGATACCCAGTAATATTCCAGTACCTAGATAATAATAATATTAATCATAATTAAATAATAATAATGATAATTTTAATAATAATAATTTAAATTATAATTTTAACACTAATAATAATAATAAAAATAATAATAATAATAATAATAATAATAACCTGGTATAACCGCTATATTAATCCATTGAATGGGTAGTATAAAAGAATGGTTTATTTTCAGAATCTGGTAAGGACCAGCCTATATACATATACACGGGTAATCAGAAAACAGTGGAATGTTATTGGATTTTTTTCGTTTAATAACAGGACTTTGTAATTTGTAATTTATATAGTTTGTGAAAATGTTTTCTAAACTTTTTTTGAGTTATGAATTTATTATTTTAATTACTTAAACATTACGCAATTCTCTGGGAAATTAAATAATTAAATGAAAGAAAGAAGACGACAATCTTTCCAAATTGTTAATTGGATTTTATACAGCTAACCCTGTAATGATGTATTAAAGTAAAGGAAAAATATGAAATGATTTTAAAGTTTTAGTTTTTATATTAAACAAAGAAAAATGTGTGTAAAATATTTTTTTGGGGGGGGAGGATGGGGGGTAAAAGATTATAGCTTTGGAACCCGAATATATGTGTGGATACTGAAATTTCTCTTTTAAATACTACTATGTAAATTTGGAATTTTTTAAACCAAGCGAAGAATATTCCAGAGGTTCTACAAAGTTCCCCAATCAAAATTTGAGGAAAATCGGTCAAGTGGTTCATGATTCTACATACAAAAAAGGCAGACTTACATAGATAACATACTTTATAGATCACATGGAAATAGACGGAAGGAGAAAGTCAAATTTATGTGACATTAATGGTACTAGTTTTAATTTTGCGCGCAAGTATAAGATCAGCAAATTTATCCACATACATATTAGCAATTCAAAACTTTTTCAGTATTCTGAGTAGTTCTTTAATAAAGAAGTTATGATTAAAAACATTTAAGATATTAATTTTCCGTGAAATTTACTCAAGTTTGTCATCATATTTTTTGTAGATAAATATTTGTATGCGTATAATTTTTATACCTGATTAGCTAGTACAGTAGCTAGTATTAATGCTGGTAGAAGAAGCACTGTAATACAAACAATCAAACCATTCAACATTTTACTCTGTGTTAATCTGGTTCAATCTGGTTGGATCTAGATTAATCTGGTATAATCTGGTTTGATCTTATTTAATCTGATGTGATCTTGTTTAATCTGGTTTAATCTGGTTTAATCTAGTTTAATCTGTTTTAATCTAAATTAATCTGGTTTGTTCTGGTTTAATCTGGTTTAATCTGACGATTTGATCTATTTTAATTTGATTTGATCTAGTTTAATCTGGTTTGATCTGATTTTTATCAGGTTTAATCTGGTTAAATCTGGATTGATCTGGATTGATCTGGTTTGATCTGGCTTGATCTGGTTTGATCTGGTTTAATCTGATTTGATCTGGTTTGATCTAGTTAAATCCAGTTTAATCTGGTTTGATCTGGTTTGATCTGGTTTAATCTGGTTTAATCTGGTTTAATCTGGTTTAATCTGGTTAAATCTAGTTTAATCTAGTTTAATCTGGTTTAATCTGGTTTAATCTGGTTTGATCTTGTTTGTGTTCCTATATTAATGATGCTGTGGCTGTTGAGAAAGTAGCGAGCTCTAAGGATATTTTTTATTAACAATAAAGCATTAGTTCTGAGGGTGAGGGGCAAAAATTGAAGAAAAAAATTTTAATTATGAATATCAATATATCAATATTTATGAGGTATAACATTCTTCTATAAGGCTAAAGCCGTTTCATAACTTGAAAGCTCTAATACAAGTGTTGCCAGTAATACATCCAGAGAGGATAGCGAGAGAGATGCAAAATTGTTCAATTGTAATGTAAAATACATCCAGAGAGAAATGCGAGAGAGATGCAAAATTGAACAAAGGAACCCAAGCCTGTAATGCCAGTAATACATCCAGAGAGGATAGCGAGAGAGATGCAAAATTGTTCGTTCACAATTTTGTGCCTACCGGAATGCAAATTTTAAACCAAAATTTTAAGAAAGCACTTTTTTACTTCTTATCGTAACTCCATGTCCAATAAGCAGTTCCCCAGGTAACAAAAGGGAGGAATCTCTGTTGAGAAAATCTTGGATATAGTTCCTAGGAAATGCCCAGGTATTGTGCTGAAAAACCTTTTCTGGGAATTCCCAATAATTTCCCCAAATTTGGTCGACTTTTTTTCGGATTATTCTCAAGAATTGAGAACAAGAAATTTCCCGGGATTGGTTACAAGAAATTGCTTGGAATGGGTTACGAGAAATTTCTCGGAATTACTCGAATGTCAAAATAAACATAATGTTAATTAAAATTTCCTTTTCTTGAGGAACGAAGAATCACTGTTAGTTTCAGCACATTCAGCTAAAATATAAGATCGTTATTCCATCTTACTTTTTACTTAATTTTTTTCAATATTTTACAAACATATAAAATTACCTATTGAATATTCATGATAAACTTTAAAGCCCAAAGATTCAAGTGGGTCCCTATAAATAACTATAATGATATTTGTAATAATAATATTAATAGTAATAATAACAATAATAATAAAATAATAATAAAAACAATAAAAATAATAATAATAATTATTATAAGAATAATAATCATAATAATGATAATAATAATAATAATAACCTTGAGAATCCTACAGGAACTAGGCTGCACCAAACACCGTAGAGACATGAACGACCGAACCTATCTCCAGCGCAGAGGCTAGTCAACACTTAACATTTAACCCTATAAGGGCTGGGGGGTCTATATCTATGTATACCCTTGTGGGGCGTCCCACGCCCTCCCCTCCTAGAAAAAGGCCTTAGAGAATGTTCAAAGCCCAATTTTTCAAGACTAGCTCATCAAAAAAAATATTAGACCGATAACTTTAATAGTTTGGGTATTAGGAAGGGTTAAAAAAATGCCAAAAATGGGTAAAAATATGTTAAAAAATGTTTTTTTTTGTTTTAAACACAAATATCAAAGTGTGACACATGTTTCTACATTAATTTTTCAAGAGCTTTTAAAAAATATAGTTTTTAGATTTGTAGCGTTAGTCTTAAAAAATTTATGTGCTATTTTAGATTTTTTTTTACACAGACCGGACTTTTAACAATTCTGTGAACCCTAACCTATGCATAAAAAATAATTTACAAAAATCCTTTAAATTTCTATTTATTAACAGTCACACAATGTTACGGTCATAGTGTCAAAAATGAGAATGCTAGGACAAACTAGAGGGGGGGGGGGGCGTCAAACGCCACCATCCCCCAGCCTGTTTAGAGTTAAAGGAAGTAATGAAAAATATTGCAATGATAAGAAAATTTTATTATGTTCCATTTTTAATTTAAAAAAAAAACTAATTTAAAATAAACATAAAAGTTTTCTAATTCCTTTGAGTTTTCAACTATATGAATATATAATATGAAATAAACAAGATCTAATTCTTCCAAAATATGAAGTTGCAAAGATATAAGGATTGAAAATTCAGAGTTCGACCCAGACAAAAATTAAGTTTAACTTTAAACGACAAAGCTTGCTTTGGTCCCTCCATTCCTTTTCATATGTAGAAAAGATATTCACTGTTAAAAAATCAAATATTTTAAAATTTTTATTTTATCATGATGTTTTGTATATAGCTACAACTCCACCTCTTTGGATAATTTCTTATAGTTATATTTAACGTCTGCAAAGTAAGTTATCAAATATGAAATCTCAGGAATGAAATTAAATTATTCAACAAAGAAGAAAAAACCAAATGAAAAGTTTATAGAAAACGACTTTCGGAAAAGTTCTAAGTATAAAAACATTGTTCAAATTGTGCTCGATTTCTGTTGTTAAACATTAGAATTTATCTGTTTTGTTTATTTTCCTTGAAAAAATACCTGTTACAAAGAAAAATATGAAAATAATCATTGAACTCCACCATTGCAGGATACAGATTACTAAAATAAAAATACATAGCCTTAATTTTTTTTGGTTTTCATTTGAGACATATAAAACATTTTAATGATGAATAATTACGGAGTGAGAGCGCAAAGTCGACGTTCAAAATCATCTTTTAGGGTGGTTTCGTCTTGAGAATCGATAAAAAAAATTCTTAAATAACGACGACAAAAAATGTATCAAAATTCTACAGTAAACTAATAAGATTTTTAGGAATAGGTTGAGAAAACAAAAATTGACTCTTATTTTAGAAATTAATTCAGTTATTTGTTTCTTTAATGTCTCATTGTTCAAAAACGTTACTGTAGATTTACCGGAATTTTTATTGAAAAGACAACATTTAAAGAATTTAAGAAATCTGCGAACAAATTCATATAAGTCATTGTAATGATAAAATAAAAATAATTGATTCTAACATTGATTTATTGACAAATTTCTATTGGAAAATATGTTCCTAAACATTTATTTGGTTTATAGTCGATTTTTTTTACATTTTTTGTCGTCGTTATTAATAATTTGATTCAATTGTAAAAGGAACGGATTACTGTCCATAACTTTTTCTTATTCATTTATTGCAAGCTTATGCTGAAACCTTAGATAGTTCAAACTTTGGCTATTCACTCTTACAGAATTCATAGCCCTGGTAGCCCTGGTAGCCCTGGTATCCCTGGTATCCCTGGTATCCCTGGTAGCCCTGGTAGCCCTGGTATACCAGGTTCTTTTGTTACCCCAGTTTCCTGGTTTTCCTGGTTTGATAATTCTTACCTAATGATAAAGCAAGAGCCCGGAACAAAATAGTGGAAACAAAAAATGGAATTCCGACACATTTTCTGATAAAAAATCTTTAAATTANTCCCTGGTAGCCCTGGTACCCCTGGTAGCCCTGGTACCCCTAGTATCCCTGGTAGACCTGGTAGCCCTGGTAGCCCTTCATTTTAGATTTTTAATTCTTACCTAATGATAAAGCAAGAGCCCGGAACAAAATAGTGGAAACAAAAAATGGAATTCCGACACATTTTCTGATAAAAAATCTTTAAATTAAATGTGTTTTTTATCTGTTCGGATATAGAGCGAACATAAAGTAACTCAACCACTCGGAAGTAAAGTCATATTGTTAAAATTAAAATGAACATGGTTATATCGTGGTGTAAGGAACTGAGTCTTTGTCACAAACTCTGATTTTCTCATACCTATATCTCTGCAATCAAATGTGGTAGATCGACCTTTGTATAGACTATGAATTCTGTTAGATGAAATAATCATAGTTTGAAATATCAAAGGAGTACGCCCTCAGGGGGCAAAGATATAGGGATTAGAAAATTAAAGTTTGATATTTTTGATAGTTAGATATTTCAAACTATGAATTCTATTGGATGAAGTATAGAATTTTAAAAAACCAAAGGTTTACACCATCTTTTTTCAAGATATGGAAATTATAAAAGTTTGAGTTTGTGACAAGTTCCTTTATACAACATTACTGGAACGACTTTGTGACCTCGTTGCTCCATTATATTTGAGTTTACGCTCACTGAAAAAAGCAAATGTTTTCGATTTGAATTCAAAACATTTTAGTCTTCTCAAAAAGATATAAATTTTATAATTGAAAGCATATAATTTACATTTTACAACTTTGAATATTAATCAGTAAGCCTTCAATTATGACCCTTTTTTAATTGTTAATTAAATAGTAATTATTTGATAATGTTTGTACTATATTTTGGTATCTGCACAAACAAGCTAATCTCTTCAAGTCGAAGAAAAAACATCTATTTTCAAGCTGTTTTATAATTGATTTTAGCTGGGTTTTTTTTTTATTGATTTTAGCTGTTTTTTGGTTGATTTTAGCTGGTCTTTAATTGATTTTAGATGTTTTTAAATTGATTTTAGCTGTATTTTAATGTTAGCTTTTTTATTTGATTTTAGCTGTTTATTTAATTGACTTCAAATGTTTTTAATTGATTTTAGCTGTTTTTAATTGATTTTCGCTGTTCTTTAATTGATTTTAACTGTTTTTGAATTGATTTTAACTGTTTTTTAATTGATTTTAGCTGTTTTTTAAATAATTTTAGCTTGTTTTTGATTTTAGCTGTTTTTTAATTGATTTCAGTTGTTTTTCATTTATTTCAGCTGTTTTTTTAATTGATTTTATCGGTTTATAAATTGATTTTAGCTATTTTTTAATTGATTTTCCTGAAAGCTGATCCTGTGTGACAAAATCTGGTTTCCAGCTCGTTAAAATAAACACCTAAACATGCATTGTTATTTCATTAATCAAACCATTTAAACGGAGAGTTCTCGAAAATTGTTGGAGAGAAACAGAAATATCGGCTAGAAAAATGAAGAATGATCAAATTGTAATTTAGTTGATCATATAAAAGCCCAAGTGCCCGACATTGCCCGAGAAATTTGAAAAAAAAAATTCAAATTTTGAAGACAAAAAAAATCGATCGAAATTTTTGAAATAAAATTTTTTGACAATTTTCAGAAAGTGCTGAGCTTTTGAACTAATCTCCAGTGGGAAAAAAATTATTTAAATCAAATAAAATTAGTTTTATTCCTTTAAACAGTTGTAAGTTGATATAACCTGATGCAAGAACTGATATAAAACTACAGAGAATACTGACAACTTGAATTAATCCAAGTACACATATAGTTGTCCCGGAGTACTCACGACCAAGAAACTAAAAATATAATTTTAAAAATAAAAAGGAACTTCAATATAGTATCAAAGTCTAGTTTTCTAATCCTTTAATTCAAAATTAAAAAAATTAAAAATATGAAAATAAGGTTGCAAAGATATAGAAATTTCAAAATTAGGGTGTTTAGTTCTGATTAGGATGTAATTGATTATGGAAAATTAAAGGAAAACGAGTAAAATTACAATATTTAATACTCTATATGTATATACAGTGTGTCCCAAAAAACATGGGAATTCAGTGACGAATTGGATTTCGTCTTTGTTGTAAATTAGCATTGTAATACCTAATTTCAAACGCCATAATATTATTATGTCTGCTAGAGTTTATTTTATGAAAAGGGTAAAAGACTTTCTATTATGTCTCCGCAAGATGAACAGTGAAGACGGACAAGTTTACTCTGTTTGTATACTGTAATTTTCTTGTTTTACTAAGTACACCCTTATGCAGTCAAAACATAAACAAACAAAATGTGAACATAGCAGACGAAACTCTTACAGATTACAGCTTTCTTAGTTGGTATCACTATACTAAATAAAAGAATTAGTTAAAAAGACGATATCGAATTCGTCACTGAATTCCTATGTTTATTGGGACACCCTGTATATATATATATATGATGGTTCAAGCCCAGCCAACTGCAAAATCAAAAAAATGAATTGAGCCGTATAAGGACGAAACACTGCGTTTATTTTAAAGAAAAAAATTCTAAAAATTCAAGATTTTATTTATCATTTGATCCTGCTAAGTTCATGAAAAATGAAATTCTAAATGTACTGGCATGCTTTTTCTCCCCAAATAAATGCCGAACCAAAGTAAAAGAGGGTTTTATTTAAGGGTGGTCTAGGTAACCTGAAATCCATGGGTTTGATTGGAGTTGAAGGACGGGTTGAGGTTCTCCACTACTCCGGGTAATTCATCTAGTACAGCCAGAGCAGGAGCAGTTAGAGAACCTACAGAAATATATCCGATTTATTAAATATTAAGATAAAACTTGGATATCTAATTCATAGTTGATCAGACAGAAAATGCAGCAATAGTTCCCAACCGATGAGGAAATAGTTCCCAACCGATGAGGAAATAGTTCCCAACCGATGAGGAAATAGTTGCCAACCGATGAGGAAATAGTTCCCAACCGATGAGGAAAAATCAGTATTAGCTGATCCTCCCAGAGTGTTCAATTGCTCTATGCTGTATCCAAAAATAAATTAATGTAAATGTAGTCAAGGAGGAGAGCATCATCATTGGAGTACTACGTGAAACACCCTTTTATCGAAAACCCCCAGATTTTCATTTGAGACCCCAAGCTTTTCATTGGAGTCCCCAGATTTTTATCGGAAATCCCAGATTTTCATCGGGAACCCCCAGATTTTCATTACAGACCCCAAGCTAGCTTCTCATTGGAGACCCCAGATTTTATCGGAAACCCAGATATTTACAGGAAACCCCCAGATTTTCATTGGAGACCCTAAGCTTTTCATTGGAGACCCCAGATTTTTATCGGAAACCCCATATTTTCATCGGAAAACCCCAGACTTTCGTTGGAGAGCCCAAGCTTTTCATTGAAGACTCCAAGTTTTTCATTAGAGTCCCAAACTTTTCATCGGAGACCCCAAAGCTTTTCATTGGAGGCCCCAGATTTTACTTGGAGAACCAAAGATTTTCGTCGGAGACCCCCAAATATTATTGAAGAGCAAGGGCTGTAAATATATATTTTATTACCATTGAACCAAAGACTAAGCTGTAATACTAGCTGTGGAGCTGCGGCTAAGAATCCTTCTAGAACCACAAGGAACATTGCTTTCTCTCTCCATTCTTGATGAATTATCAATTAGGTCATATTCAAGGTTTTTTAAAACCTCATTCCCCAAACCCAAAAATAAAATATCTTAGGATAATTAATTACAGTTGCAGGTAACAATATATAATAAGAAAAAAGACTGAGTAAATTCCGTCGTCGGTAACCAATGAATGTCTTTTCCACTTCTTGATAAGTTTAAGAAAAGAATAATAGAACTACAGTTTCTAAATAAACTGATCAATCGCCTAAAATCTAATTTTTAATTGTTTATCATATTTGATAAATGAAACTATGAAATATAAGCTCAATAGTGAGAAATATCAAAGTTTTCAAATATCAGAATATCGTTTCAAGGTATCTTAAAGTAAATCGTGCATTGCTCTATTTGCATGGAGGGTAACTTAAATTACGGTTACAATCCTTTTAATGTACAAAATATATTTACCTGTATGATATAAACTGTACAGTACTGTTATCCAAGTGTAAACCGGGCTGAATATCATGTACAGTACTCCTCTGCATGTACAATAGCAATTATCAAAACAGTTTCATCTACTTTAGACATTGAACTTTATACGTGTTGATATCTGGAGATTCTAGTGTACTACAGGGTTAACCATAAATGATGAGACTTCAGAGACAACTGTACAGAATGTATACTAAACTGTAAACTTCTTCCTTTTTTGTGTAGTCATTAAATAATCCATATTAACGATTAAATTCAAGGCAGAAAACTAAATTTAACCACAGAGTTGTCAAATTCAAAGAGATTCAGGTCGTCTTTGCAGTCTCATACTTTAAGGGTAACCCTGTATTAATGTATTGGTATACTCTGTATTAATGTATTGGCACACTCTGTATTAATGTATTGGTACACTCTGTATTAATGTATTGACCTGAATATATTTCCCTTCCCTCGCAGGGCTTCTTTCAACTCTAAGAGGAGAACAACTAAACCAGGAAGATATACTAGGGATAGGGTAGCAACCCCTTCCACTAGATAACCCTGGATAATATTGGTTTTAACTAAGAAAATCCAGGAAATAACATAATACCCTGAAAATCTTTAATTTAAACATAATCAGAAACCCTGAAAAACGTTGATTATTTTAGTTTCAAACAGGAAAGCCAGGAAACCCTAAATTATCATAGTTTCAGGCAGGAAAGCCAGGAAACCTTTAATTATCATAGTTTCAAGCAGGAAACCCTGGAAACCTTTAATTTTCATAGATTCAAGCAGGAAACCCTGGAAACATTCAATTATCATAGTTTCAAGCAGATAACCGTGTAAATAGGGTTTCCACGAAATGACCATATTGATGATTGATGATGATATGAGAATTTCCTCGGAATGGGTTACAAGAAATTCCTCGGACCTGGTTAAGAGAAATTCCTCGGAATGGGTTACGAGAAATTCGTCGAAATAGCTGTCGACATTTTTACCGGAGATTCCGACAGCTCTCATCATATCCATTATAGAAGAACACGACGATCTTGATACAGGAAACGCTGTTTTTACATATAGCTCTTCACATATCAATGATAGAAGAACAGGATGATCTTGAAATAGGAGATGCTGCTCTTTACAGACAGCTCTTCACATATCAATGATAGAAGAAAAGGATGATCTTGAAAGAGGAGATGCTGCTCTTTACAGACAGCTCTTCACATATCAATGATAGAAGAAAAGGATGACTTGAAAGAGGAGATGCTGCTCTTTACAGACAGCTCTTCACATATCAATGATAGAAGAACAAGATGATCTTGAAAGAGGAGATGCTGCTCTTTACAAACAGCTCTTTACATATTTGTTGTAGAAGCAGCCAAGGAAAAAGATAATCTTGAGACTACCGACTAGATTACCCCGCCAGTACATCAGAGACTGCTCTATACTCTCCAGAGGATCCGGAATACGGAGACGCCGCTCATTTTAGAGCAACTCTTCACGGTTCTTTTGTGAGTCTAGCAAAGGAAACAGCTGAGAACACAGTAAGAGCATCTTAGATTGAAATAACAGTCAACGTAGCAGGGACTTTAGGAGGAGCTCCGTTAGTTAAGGAAGCAGCTAAGAATGCAATAGAAGCATCTCGGATTGTAGGAGCAGCTAAAGTAGCAGAGACTCTTGGAGCATCTCTGGTAATGCATAGCTAACATATCAGAGACTCTAGGAGCAGCTCCGATAATGAACAGCTAACATAGCAGAGACGACTCTAGAAGCAGCTTCGGTTATGAATAGCTTTAATAATTACATTGATAAAAAGCGGCCCGATTTTTGTGTGAGAGGGTGCACATCTTAATTTGCATTGTGTGGCATCAGGCATCAGGTTGCAAAGTTGAGTTTTAGGTAAGTATTCGGTTAACCCTTTGTAAGCATTGCAATTATATGCCAACAAGTGCAATCTCATAGATGACTACTGTATACAGTTTGCATCTTTAATCAACGTTTTAATGAGAATATGTTCCTGAAAATTGCACAAAACAGAATAACGCAAAAAGCAAAATAGCGAAATTTTGCGCGAAATGAAGTTTGCAAAAAAGCTGTAATGAAAGCAAATATTTTCGCTTTCTTTTGCAAAAATTGCGAAAAAGTTTTGCAAATGGAAACGCTATAACGTGCAAACCTGAAATGAATGAAGTTTAAAGAATGGATGGAATGCGCACAAAAGAAAATAAACATGATTAATATTATTCCTTTAAAAAAAGACTTGTTAAGAAATGAAGTTATTGTTAAAAAAATATAAGATCTCATTCTTAAATGAAATTTACTTTAGATTGACGTGAGTTAGTAGTGAGAGTAGTCCAGGGGTTTTTAAACAACCCCCAAAATATAACAGCAATCACGGTACTAATGGAAGGAAAGTTAATTGCGGTCCGTATACTCTGCGTACATATTGAAACCAGTTCTCTCTGGACGGAATTCGTAAACATGAATAGATGCATCCGTGTTAGTTTAGTATTCGAGGAGGTTAAAAGCATTTAATTTTGATAATTTCGAAAATTCACATAAAAGTTTCCTATGACCAGAATATTTCATAGATTATTTTTGTGAAAATTGATTCCATGTCAGGCCATGACACTGACATTTGTCTTGTGCTTACTTTTCCGCCCAAAGATAGTACACTTCAGTAAAAAAATGCGTACACCTGATATAACTTTCCTTGCATTAGTACCTTGACAGCAATAAAATATAATTTTGAAAAATATATAAGATCCGTAGTTTTGAACCTGAGCCAAATATATCAAAGCTGTGAGGATATCAGATATTTGATCAGATATATGTACAAGCAAGTACATCAGCAGTACACAAACACCCATTCTAGTGCATGTACTGTACAATCTCTCTCTGAAAAATGAATAAAACAAATCAAGGTAGATGGACCACAGTGATCCGAAGGTGATCCAAACTTCGATGAGAATTTTGCCAATTACTTCTTAAAAACTTTAGTTCTAAAATGTCTAGAGCTGAAAACAAGAATGTTTAAGGAAATGAGGAAATATCTTTGGCCAAGGCGTTGTGACACTTTAAGTTGGCCCAGTCTTGACAATTGATGAAACTTTTCTAACACAGTCTGGTCACCCTGGCATATATTTATTTTTCAAATTTTAATTATGTGTGTTATCCTCCCCCAACCCCCACCCCCTAAAAAAATGTCATTCAGTGTCCCAACAACCACCCACCCAACCACAACAACAAAAAAAGTTATTTATTTCCCACTCCGAAAAAATATCTACTTAATAATTTGACATATATTAGATACAGAATATATATTAAAATTAAAGGTATAGATAAAAGCTTTAAAAAATAAAATCTACATATATTAATCTATAATCGAATATAAATAATTATTCATTCTTGTTATGTTCTGAACCGAACAGAAAATGTCAGCATAAAAAGAAGCCACACTTGAAATATCCTTCAGAAGAAGCCACAATATTAACGACCCCTCCCCCTCAGTCCTACCACGTGCGGCGTAACTTTAAACTTTGAAAGAAGGGGGGGGGAAATTGGATATAAATTGAATTCTAAAAGTAAATTACATCAGAATTGGGAGCAAAAATAAATTACGTATTCTTTTCCCAAATTAATGTATTTTAATAGAATTTATTAGTTTTATAACTTCGTTCAGTATCACTGTCTCTTTTTTTCTTTTTTCCTCACGAATATCCAATTGAGAGTTATTTATTGCTGTTTCTATAATTTGACTAATTCTAATTCCAGTTTGTATCTAAAAGTGTACACAATACGCATAAGGGAAATCAGGAGAGAAAATATAAAAGGGAAATCAGAAGAGAAAATATAATAGGGAAATCAGGAGAGAAAATATAGAAGGGAAATCAGGAAAGAAAATATAGAAGGGAAATCAGGAGAGAAAATATAGAAGGGAAATCAGGCGAGAAAATATAGAAGGGAAATCAGGAGAGAAAATATAAAATGGAATCAGGAGAGAAAATATAGAAGGGAAATCAGGAGAGAAAATACAGAAGGGAATCAGGAGAGAAAATATAAAAGGGAAATCAGGAGAGAAAAACGGAATTTTGTAAGAAAGCTACAATTGTGAGAGAGTGCTTCGAATGGATAGTACAGGGTTACCCACAAAGAATGAGACTGTAAAGACGACCCAAAACTCTGAAAATATGACGTTTGAAGCTTGTTTCTTTGGATTCAGCATTCAAGTAAGTATTTTTATGGTTTACTAAATGATTAAGCACAGAAATAAGCCAGTTTGGGCCTATACAAGGAACCCTGAATTCAAGCAAACGGATTAAACAAATTCCATACAATCGTCTCTGAAGTCTTATCCTTTGTGGGTAACCCTGTATATAAAAGACAAGAATCAATTATTTAAAGATCTAGAAAACAAGAAATTGCGATTACAAATTGCGGAATCAAATGAAAAATATTAAAGAAAGTTAACTGTTCTATACAATGAACTAAACACAAGGAAACTGTTAAAGAAATTGAGGTTTTGCCACAAACTCTGATTTTCTAATTCCTATAACTTTACAACCCGTTTTCCTAGACCTTTGATATTTCAACTTAACTTAACTGATAATAAACTACTTGTTTAACTGATAATGGTTCAGACATTATCAATAAAAATTGAAATAATTTAGTTGTGGATAAAATGATAATGTTTATTAATTTTTTCATCAAATTACATTATTCGTTTAAATTCTTCTTCTTATTGCTCTTGTTCTTAGTTTTGTTCAGTTCCACCAAAAACGCAGTTAACCCTTAACAGAAAGAAATTTAAGTTATAACGTATTTTTTCATATCCATAGCATTGTTTATAAAACCAATGGTTATAGTTAACCCTATCACGATTAGGGGGAGGGGGGGGTGTTTTCCCCCCTTTCTGTGTTTTTTTTTCTAAATTACTCAAAAACGGCAGACATCAAACCTTAAAAACTTCTTCACTTTTTCAACTGTATAGTTGTGAATAAATTATGCAACAAGTTTTTTTTAATGCATAAAGTAGGGTGGAGGACAGTCAAACGGCGGGTAGGTGTTTAAAAAAAATCAGAAATAACTTCACATGACTCAGGGAAGGTTTATGGATGCTAAGAATTACAAAAACTTGTCTCCAAAAATGTTTGATTTTAGTAATACTTTTCGTAATTGCAAAATTTGTAATTTTGTTTTCCCGAAGAAAACATGCTGAAAGTTTGAGCAATAATTAAAAAGATTGAAATAGAAGAAAGACACGAGGCCTAGTATATTATATTACTATTATTATTGTCATTAATAGTCTTATGGTTTTTGTTGTAATTCGAACACCTGCATATAACCTGAAATAAATACTTTTTGAACTTTTTCAAAATTCTCCATTGCAACCTAACAATTAAAGATGTGTTGGTTAATTTTTTTTAATGAGCGCGTCTTGAGAAGTAGGACTATGGTCATGTATCACACTCCCCTATCTCAACTCTAAGGGCAAAATCATAGGGGGCGGGGAAGGGAATAGTCCCCCCACAAATCTAAATTAAAAAGAATAGCCCAATGAGGATAGGGTTAACAATGCTGATTAGTTCAATGCCTGAATCGATAGGAAATCAGTTTTTCAACTTAAACCGGCCAATGGAAGAGAATATTTTATCTTAAAGATAAAAAAATTTTGTTAAAAAATATCTTTGACCAATTAGAGATTGGTTTGATTTTTAATCTTTTTAACTAGCTCTATTAAGTTTTAACCATCAATATATAAACTTTGCTTGTCTGTTTGTTCTTAAATTTTGTTTGGGACCTTACATGATCCTAGGGAAGGTTAATGGATGATTAAAATTTCAAAAATTAGCCTCCAACAAAATTCAATTTGCATTAAATTTTGAAAATCCACGAAATTTTTTTCAAGATCCACAACCTTTTTTGGTTTTGATTTACAATGTATACAATGAGAAAATAAAATATTGAATTACAAGAAGACAGAATTAGAGAGCCTGTTATACGCGGCATGCGCATAAGTCCTATAGGATTCTGTCTCAGGGTTAAATTGTGAACGAAAAACCCCTTAAATGATGAAAAGACGACATCTATTGGTTTACCTAAGATTACTCCTGAGAAAAGAATGATGGTAGGGAACCAGAAATATTCCATTTTTAGCGGAGCAGAGTCATCATCCGTAGTTTTTAGGAAAATCTAAAAAAAAATCTGTAATAATATTTTTCCATTTTGTTCGATGTATCGAAGTTACCAAAAGTTTTGTTCGATGACGCGAAAGTTTTGTTCAAAAGAACGTGTTCGCGGGATATAAAATTGTTTTGATATCCTGATAATTTTGTTCCTAATTTCGAACAAAATATTCATTAGTCATTTTTAAATTGTGTTTGGATGAAGCCTTTAGATTTTATTGTTACCATATGAATTATAGTTATGATATTTATTTTTAAGCACAAAATACAAAATAATAATGTATGATGGTTCAGCTAAAAACAAAACACAAAAGAAAAGTTAATATTTGCCAATTGAAAATATAACTTTTAATAATTTTGCTCTGATCGGTATTTGATAAAACTGCACAAGTGAATAAACATTCATCTTATATTTACAATTGTAGATAATTAGTCAGCTCTCATTTTCAGGAATCCATTCATTGAATTTATAAATACATATTGATTCAGCAAAAGTAGTAATGTATTCTATTTCTTTTTGACTGTGGCAGACTTTGACATCAACCATAAGAAAAGTGTGTGAACCCATTCCTATTGACTGCGGTAGACTTTGACATCTACCATTAGCAAAGGGTGTGAACCCATTCTTGTTGACTGTAGTAGACTTTGACATCCACCATTAGCAAAGGGTGTGAACCCATTCTTGTTGACTGCGGTAGACTTTTGTGTGAACCCATTCCTGTTGACTGCGGTAGACTTTGACATCTACCATTAGCAAAGGGTGTGAACCCATTCTTGTTGACTGTAGTAGACTTTGACATCCTCCGTTAGTAAAGGGTGTGAACCCATTCTTGTTGATTGTAGTAGACTTTGACATCTACCATTAGCAAAGGGTGTGAACCCATTCTTGTTGACTGTAGTAGACTTTGACATCTACCATTAGCAAAGGTTGTGAACCCATTCTTGTTGACTGTGGTAGATTTTGACATCCACCATTAACAAAGGGTGTGAACCCATTCTTGTTGACTGTGGTAGATTTTGACATCCACCATTAGCAAAGGGTGTGAACCCATTCTTGTTGACTGTGGTAGATTTTGACATCAATCATTAGCAAAGGGTGCATAACTTATTCTTGTTGACTGTGGTAGACTTTGACATCCATCATTAGCAAAGGGTGTGAACTTACTCTTGTTGACTGTGGTAGACTTTGACATCCACCATTAGCAAAGGGTGTGAACTTATTCTTTTTGACTGTGGTAGACTTTGATATCCACCATTAGCAAAGGGTGTGAACCTATTCTTGTTGACTGTGGTAGACTTTGACATCCACCATTAGCAAAGAGTGTGAACTAATACTAGTTGACTGTGGTAGACTTTGACATCTACTATGTGAACCCATTCTTGTTGACTGTGGCAAATTGTTTATGTTTAAATCAAGACATATACTAGTTCATTCTAACATTCAAACCCGTTGCAGAATTTCATTAAAAAAAAGTTCGTAACTTTGCAATTTTGTTCCTCCAAAAAATGCAAAATTAATTATATGCACTCTAAAATTTTAATGAAAAAATTTCTTTTGGCAGCAAAAGTTGGATGGTTAACAAAAAAGCTAAAGACAAAAATAGCTTATATTTTTAAAGAAATTTCGCTCATATTTAAAAAATCGCTTAAATATTTATCAAAATATTGCATAAGGCATTAACATAAACCTTAGATATTTTAAATTTAGATTATTTGATCAAATAGAATTCATGATTTCAAGTACATAAGGTCTTCGATATTAGATTGCAAAGATATAGGGGTCATAACATTGTGTAGGCAAAGACTCAGTTCCTCTAGAGTGTGAAAATGAAAATCGTTAACCTTAGAATTGAATTCATCGTTAAACCATTTAGATAGAAGTCCACCTGCCCATAACTGATTAATGACGGAATCTTAAACAAACAAAAAACAGTTTTTAACTTTATTAACTTGAAGGAATTGTTAACGTAATTATTAAGATTTACAATTTACAAAGTATCCTTTAAAACTTAATTTAAGACTTATAAAGGTGGTATTTTAGAGAGGTAAACTTTAGGCGTCATTTCATATGCTTCTCTATTCCTAAAGTTGCATGTCTCATTCACAACATGACCCTTTAAACTTTTGTCTTAAAAATAGGGAGATATGATCGAGGGGAGGAAGGCCAACCACAACCATTTATAGCCCGAGCCACATTCTCTCATTTTCTCGTCTGAAAATCCTTGTCTTTCCAATACGTTCTTTTTAAAGTGTCTATTCCTCGAAGATAAAACTATTTTTAAGAATCTGGCCACGTTCGGACGAAAATGGAATATTGAATTTTGTGAATCAAAAAAAAATAGTTTCAATTGAATTAAAGTACGTTTTAGAGTTTAATTTCCCTTAAAAATGTTCATATTTTTTACGCGCATTTTTAGATATTCCTGGTGTAGAATGCCGCAAATAATTCCGAGTTTAAAAGAACTTTAATCTTTTATGTTAACTATAGTGAATACCAAAGAATTTTTCCAGATTCTATGGGGTAAATGATAGCAGATTGTATGCCAAATATTTTGCTATTTAACGGAGGCAGAGGAGATTTAAGTTTTAACTAAATACTTTTGACATTATTCTCATGGCTTTGAAGATTCCAACATGATGTAATCATTGCAATACTTTAGTCTATCCATATTTTATGCCCTAACGTGGCCAGATTAAAAAAAATAGTTTTATCTTTAAGAATTAGAAACTTTAAAGCACATAAAAAATCTAAGAACAAGGATTTTGAGGTGGTTCGGACGAGAAAAAAAGAAGAATGTGGCTCGGACTAGAAATTGTTGTGGTTGGCCTTCCTCTTCACGTTTATATCTCCCTATTTTTAAGACAAAAGTTTAAAGTGTAATGTTGTGAGTGAGACATGGGAATTAAAAACCAGAAAACTCTAGAATAGGAAGACGACATTAAAGCAGTCTGAAGTGCATTTGATGTTGTTACAAATAAGTTTACTAGTAAGTTATAAAACCAGTTATTAAGTGAACACTGCACAATTTTTGTGCTTCATGTTTATTGGACTATTTAAAGTTATTACTTGAATCTAAAGTCGACTTCTTATGCCAGAGTTTTCTAGTTATCACTGTATCACTGTAACCTAAACTATCCTTCCACTGAGCATCTTTGCGAACTGGAATTCCAACATAAAAATGGAATATCTTATCTTGACCCATTCGGAACGGCTGGACACTGGAAAAAATTAAAACAAATTACAAATGTTCATTCTAATAAAAATAGAAAAACTTTCAAAAATAACAGTAATAATAATATTAATGATTGCTCCTAATATTGACAAAGACAAGAGTAGTGATAGTAAAAATTTAAAAAATAACAGTGATAATTATAATTATTTAAAAATAATAATAATAATATCAATAATGACTATGAAATAATAATAATAAAATTTGATAAAATAATGATAAGTATCTAAATCAAATATTTAACTTTCCTATTTCTATCATAGTAATCTTGAAACACTGATAGGCCCATGGTAGAAGCAACAATTCTAAATAAAATTTATCAAAATATTTTTTTAAATAATGAACTTAGCTCTAAAAGATAATCAAAATGAAATAAAATGTTTAATATTTTTACGCATTCTAGTGTTCATTCTCATTTTTCATTTTGGCTGTTTTCTTTATTAGAGTTAAAATATTGCTTAATGTAACTAAAACATATTTTTTGAAATGATTCATATTCTATTTTTTGTGTAACTGGACCTTAAACATTTTAGAAATTAACAAAACACTTGATTCAAGTATACTGTAGCTGTAATGATTTATGATTTGGATACAAATTTTATCAAAACAATAACAAATATTGTAAACAAAAGATTGTAATTAATCCAAACATGGTAGGACGTAGGGAAGGATCATTTTTTTCCCACTTTTTTGAAAAACTATCGTTTCGTTATGAAAATGAAAAAGAAAAAGCGAAAAACGAAACAATCTTTTTTAAAAAAGATTGTTTTATAAAAATATAATTTTTAGTTGAATGGTCGGTTTTAAAAACGATAGTTTTTCGTTAATTTAAAAAACGATTGTTTTTTTAACTATCGTTTTCACATATAATCGTATTTAAAAAACTACAAACGGTATTTTTTCGTTCTTTTAAAATAACCCTTAGTTGACGAATGGTCAAGGCATTTTTAAAGAGAACATTTTTTTATCGGAAAATCAGTGGTTAGAAATCTTTCCCCCAGCAAGAACCACATGGAATCCCGGACGTCCTAAGTCTTCTCGAAGTTCTTCAATTTTCCAAAAAAATATCAAATATCTTGTAACTTGAGAAATAACCATTAAAATAATTGAGTATTCTACTCGCAGTCCCCTTTTTAGGCGTGTTCTCTGTTTTCCCCCACAACTTCAAGAAGCCTTCAACAAATCAAAATAAGTCTTGTTCCCCCATCCCCAATTTACCTGTTACCCCCCCCCCCCCATATTTCATCCACATCTGTTCAGCTACTTACCAAGACACAACGCAAAGACGATGTAAGTCACTGCTCAGTTTTAAGTCATATCATATTTCATCCACATGTGTTAGTCGACTTACCAAGACATGACACCAAGTTGATGTAAGTCAATGCTCAGTTTTATGACATATCATATTTCATCCATGAATGTTTTACAACTTTCCCAGGCTTGTGTGTATTTCGCTCATATTCTAGCAAAAAGTATTTATATTTGTGTGCATGATGATAAAGACAAAATGATGAAGATGAAACTAGATGATGATGATAAAGACAAAATGATGAAGATGAAACGAATTTGTCTGAGAATGAAAGTGATTTCAATGACCTAGAGACTGAGAATGATGCGTCCCACGATGAACCGGAAAATAGTTGAATCTGAGGATTTCCCTATATTCATAACCCAATACCCCAGTTCATGAGCAGTGACTTCAACAACCTCTTTCCAGTCTAAATAAGGCTTCCTCTGTATTAGTAATTGATGGACTTCAAGACGCCCGATCCTCCTGACTTTAAGTCAATTTTAGTTTTAAGTAAGGGGTCTCCGGTTCTTGCTGGACAGCTTCTTTTTTTCGATAAAAGCATTTTAGACAAAATTCTTAACTTTATCTTTAATAAAAAAAAAATAATTGTTATAAAATTAAGATTCATCAGCAAAATTATTTTTTTACACCTATAGTTCTTTAAAAAACGATCGTTTTTCCTTCTTTTTTAAAATAACATTCTTAAAAAACGATCGTTTTCAAAAACAATCGTTTCCGTTTTTTGAAAGTTCAAAAGGAAAGGTTTGTTTTCAAAAACAATAGTTTTTTTCAAAAACAAAACGATTGTTTATTAGGACGGCAGGGCTTTCAATATAACTGTTTTTCCAAACATTTGTTTGTTTACGCATACATATTATTCCCCCCCCCCCCTAATCTGATCACTTTGGTTGAGTCTAACCTTACTGCGCCATTGTTTACCATTTCTTCACTCTGTCGTCTTTGTTCCTCCACACTACAAGGTACTATACCACTAAACAACAAAACTTTGTTCATCCACAGTACAAGGTACTATACCACTAAACAACAAAACTTTGTGCAACCACAGTACAAGGTACTAAACCACTAAACAACAAAACTTTTTTCATCCACAGTACAAGGTACTATACCAATAAACAACAAAACTTTGTTCATCCACAGTACAAGGTACTATACCACTAAACAACTAAACTTTGTGCAACCACAGTACAAGGTACTATACTGCACTAAACAACAAACCTTTGGGTTTAGTTTAGAAATTTAAATTAAAAGAAAATTCGTTATTAGTTTCAAGCTTGGAAAACTGAACATAAGATTTATGTTATATTGTATGTCTTCTTAATATGAAGAGCTTTGAGGAAAAGTTTGAATTTTATTTTGTGTGAAGTAAGAATACAAATATTATTCTATTGAAACAACATTTTATTTATAACATGTCTAATTTTTAAATTAACATTTAAAATGTATCTACGTAAAAGAAGAATTTCAATCGCACCTTCACATGATTGTTTTATTATCAATCGTTTCGCATACATGCATGATATAGGGGACAATATCAAATAAATAAAGTTTTTAAAGAAATTAAAATAAAACAATTAAATGTGTTACTTGTATTTGCTGCTACTTGTTGCCATTTCATATATTTTCTTTGGTGTTTCTTCGGTAGAGTCACGGAAGAAAGCCTCATATGTTCCTCCTTGGCAAATATACACTCGAGATCCTAAAAAAAATTTATTTTCTCAACTAGACAAGAACAATAAGTTTAAATTTATGCAACATCACTGTAATCTTGCCAGGCTACATTTCTTGAATAAAACGTTATGACTGATGGGTTGACTCTATACTGGGTAGTCCAGACTGGACAGGACCACTGGCTAATATATAAAAGATGTTGTATTGTACCGCAACATTGAGAGTTGGGTGTACTGTTACGACTTTGTGACCTTGTAGCTCCTCTAGTTCTTATTATATGCACAAATACTAGAAAGCAAAGGAATTGGGTCTTTGCCCCAATTACAAATTCTGATTTTCTAAATCCTATATGTTTGCAACCTAATGTCGCCGACCTTACATGTTTCAAACTTTGAATTATGTTAAAACATAAGATGCTGAAATGTCGTCTTCCTATGCCATACTTCTATGGTTTCTATGGAATGTTTGAAAACGTTTCTTCGTTGAACTTGTACAGAGTTATCTTTGCTTTATCTCTTCTGAGCTGGGAACTTTTGAATGATTGATATCGGGATTAATGCTTGATCCTCCCTTTTTTCTTAATCTCGAGATTAAATATTGCTTGTTCTCCTCTTGTTATTAATCTTTAGATTAATTAACCGATCGGGATTAAGGATATCCCATTCCAAAGTTTTCAGCTCTGGTTAAATTAAATTAAATGAAATTAGATAGTTAAATAGAAAAATAATACCTCGTTCAATAATATCCTTCAAGGAGTTGATAGGTTTCTCGTAGGGCACTGATACAAGTGTGGATAAAATCAAACTCTAAACATTTATTATTTCTAATTTTTTGCGAAGACTTGGTACAACAATTTACTAAATTCATAAATATCTTTGCAACCTTATTCCGAATACCTTAAATGTCATTTTATTATTTATAGCCATCCAGACCAAATAAATGATGTTAAAACTAAAACTAAAACTAAAACAACATCAAATACAAAATGTATATATATACTTTGCTTGTCTGTTTATCTGTATCCAAAACACACGACAAAACGGCTGAACCGAACGGGCCTTAATTTTTGTGTGCGACCTAACATGACCACAGGGAAGGTTTATGGATGATCGAAATTTCAAAAATTAGTCTCCATCAAAATTCGATTTTAATAAAATATTGAAAATCTACGGATTTTTTATAAAATCCGAGAACTTTTTTTGGTCTTGTCTTACAAAGAGAAAATGTTTACAATTAAAAAAGAAGATGAGCGCCCTGAAAGCCTAGTTACTAAAATACTGCTAAAAAGTCGTCTTCCTATTTCACAGTTTTATATTTTCGTTTGCATACCTCATAGAAGAATCCTATAAAGAGTCCAAAAATTGAAAATGAGACTACCAGGACTTCCATCCATCTGGGCAGGTTCATCTGGACCGGTTGACGAACCAGCTGGCCGAGAAGGTTAAAAAATAACAAGTTTTCATCATAACCCTGATACCCCTCTACTTCAACCTAAAGAAAATATTTTATCCAGTAATTATATATTTTGTAACCCAAACTTGATCCCTGCATCATTATGACTCAATGTCGTAGATATGATATTTTAATCTTTGAATTATGTTAGATCAAATAATCTAAATATTTGAAATATCTGGCTGCAGAGATATAAGGAGTTCGTTTCCCTTATGTCCATTTGACTGTCCAAGTTTTTATTTTGAATAATCTTTTTTGTTTGTTTATTTTCTTGTGATTTTTAACAAACATTTTTTTATATTTTTTTTATCGATTTTGAAGGTTAGGTTACTATAATATCGTTAGAACTGAGAAGGGTCAACCCTGACCGAAATATATTTTCAATAAAATGTGGAACTAACATCTACTTTTTTACTCTACAGACTACAGAGATTTGGTCCATCACCATCACCGAATTTTAAATATAAAGAATATATAATTTGAGGTTGTGGCAAAGACTCAATTTCTTTGATGGTGTGATAAAATTCCTACCATAGAATGACTAATGAGGCATTGAATATCAATTTTTAGGTAGGTTTGTACATACCTATATTTGTTTAATAGGATTTTTAATATCGAGTTTGGGATTTCCTAAATCTGTACTCATATATTAAGAAATCTACCAAACATGGCTTTGTCCGATCATTTTCTTGATTTTGGATAGCAACAAAATAATAAAATAAATTTTCGAGTCTACTGAATATAAAAGAGTTTCCAATTTGAAAACTTCTATAACACTGGCACTGTTATTTTTGCTCCAATAAATGAGAATTATCTTGTTTAAAGGGACTGTATGCGTAATTTCAAATTATCCTTCATGAAAAGATGGCGTTGCCCGATTCACAACACGGCACCTTTAAAACATTTATCTGATCAATAATTTGGAAGATATTGTAGTTTTTCTTGGGTTAAAAGTGTTTAATTTCTTTATGTTTTCTTGCAGTAGAAATGCGCAAATCACTTCTGTAGATAAACCACAATTGTAAATAGTCGTTTTTAAAATTATAAACATTGATCTCTATTTCATCATTGATCAGATAATGCTTTTAAGGATACTGAAGTAAATCAGACCGTGCCATCTTTGTCTGGAGGGTAACTTGCGCGTACAGTCCCTTTAATTACCTCTTTCCATTCATAAATTCACAACTCAGGTTGAGTTGGTCCTTTTATACTTACTGAATGAAAGACAAAAAGAAGAGCAAAACTAGTGAATAGGCCTACAATTATCAAACTCCAAACTAAAGGATCAAACACCTAAATAAAATATTATCAAAGGTCTAAACTTTTGTAATGAGCCACTTAATCCTTAATCCGTATAGTTTGTGGTTCAACGGATTAATTTAATCTAATCAATTCTCCAGACATTCCATGAAGTTTAATGAAAGATAACAAAAATTCTGTTAAACACAATTAAATAAACTATTTAAATAGAGTTTCCGTTGTGGATACCAGTATAGGACCTAATCGGATCATTGTTTGAAAAATTCAAAGGACTTATACGGTTTTATATGTTATAGTTCTCACGTTAAATTACATAAATCTGAATTCGTTAAACTCAATTAAATAGTTCTAAACGATGAACAAATTATAATTTACAACTCTGAACGATGTTTTTGAAAAACTCTTTTCCTCTCTAGATATATTTCATAAGATTATAAAAATAACTCCAACTTANTGTCCAGAAGTGCGACACATTTTTTGGAAACACTTGGGTAAACCTAGCTCATATACGAAATTTAATCATTTTAAAATAACTTTCCTAAATGAGCTGCAGCCTTTTTGCTGCTTTAACCGACTCAAAGAAGTTCATAGTAAGATTTTGATTCTACTGGAGACCACCAGAGGGATTTTATTTTCACTGGAGGGGTTTGAAAAAATGCTTTTTACAATTTAAAACTTTACGCAGGGTGATTTCCATTCCACTGGAGGGATTCAGATATCCTTCCTATGGGTTTATAATTCCACTGGAGGGATGCAGATATCTTTCCAGGGGGGTTATAATTACACTGGAGGGATTCAGTTATTCTTCCTAGGGGTTTATAATTCCACTGGAGGGATTCAGAAATCCTTCCTGGGGGTTTATAATTCCACTAGAGGGATTAAGATATCCTTCCTGGGGGGTTATAATTCCACTGGAGGGATTCAGTTATCCTTCCAAGGGGTTTACAATTCCACTGTAGGGATTCAGATATCCTTCCTGAGCGGTTATAATTCCACTGGAGGGATTCAGATATCTTCCCTAGGGGTTTATAATTCCACTGGAGTGATTCAAATGTCCTTCCTGGGGGGTTCTAATTCCACTGGAGGGATTCAGTTATCCTTCCTAGGGGTTTATAATTCCACTGGAGGGATTCAGATATCCTCCCAAAGGGTTTATAATTCCACTGGAGGGATTCAGTTATCCTTCCTAGGGGTTTTTAATTCCACTGGAGGGATTTAGATATCCTTCCTGGGGGTTATATTTCCACTGGAGGGATTTAGTTATCCTTCCTAGGGGTTTATAATTCCACTGGAAGGATAACTGAATCCCTCCAGTGGAATTATTAACCCCTAGGAAGGATATCTGTATCCCTCCAGTGGAATTAAAAACCCCCAGGAAGGATAACTGAATCCCTCCAGTGGATTTATAAACCCCGTAGAAACTAGGAAGGATATCTGAATCCCGTCAGTGGAATGGAAATCACCCTGCGTAAAGTTTTGAATTGTAAAAGCATTTTTTCAAACCCCACCAGTGAAAATGAATTCCCTCCGATAGTCTCCAGTGGAGTCAAAATCTTACTACGAACTTCCGTGACTCGCTTTAACCGCCATTTTGGCCCTTTTTTACCAATTCTAAGCTAAATTGTATTAACTTTGTCAATTTGTTAGGGATTTTAAAGTGTGAGACAATTTTGGAAATCATTTAACTTGGTTTAAACAATATTTTGTTTTTTGATGGTCAAATATTCAGAAAAAGGTGAAAAATCGCTCCTTTTTTTACATCTTTCGTCAGCTCCACCTGGGACGTGGTTAAAGTAAATTTCAATTTTTAAATTCAACACCATATTATTCAAAATTATTTTGACAGCTTAGAAATGACCTAAAAAATGTTTTATTGTAATGTAAAAAAATATGTAAGGTATTGGCCCAAAAAATCATATTAAACCCCGTTTTCAGTGCAATTTGCTACATAACTCCTCTTGATTGGCCAAATGATGCAATCTATTAATAAATAGTTCTTCATTAAAAAAAATTTTTTTTTAAATGCAAGAAAGCAAAATTGGTTTTTTCTATTTATTTTTTGGCCAATACCTTACATATTTGCCGTTAAACTTGTCAATAAAACATTTTTTATGTCTTTTCTAAGCTGTCAAAATAATTTTGAATAATATGGTGTTGAGTTTAAAAATTGAAATTTACTTTAACCACGTCCCAGCCTCCCAGGTGGAGCTGACGAAAGATGTAAAAAAGGAGCGATTTTTCACCTTTTTCTGAATATTTAACCATCAAAAAACAAAATTTCGTCTAAACCAAGTTAAATGATTTCCAAAATGGTATCATAATTCAAAAAATTGACAGAGTTACTTCATTTAGCCAAGAATGAATAAAAAAAGGCCAAAAATGGCTAATTTAAGAAAATTATTTTAAATGCTAAAATTTCGTATTTGATCTAGTTTTTCCATAATGCTTCCAAATAATGTGTTGCACATCTTTGAATTTTTTCAGGGGCACCCTAATACCACCCCCCCCCCCTCCACCTCCCGTTCATGCTTTAGACTTAAATCAGCATTTACTAACCTTTACAACATTAAAAATAGAAGATGCTGGTCCTGGTTTTTTAGAGAGAATAATTCCTCTATTGATGGAAATAGGACTTGTGTAATCCACAACCTTATATCTGGGAAGTAGAGTGTATAAAGTTACTGAAAACATAATGTCAAGAGTGTTAGGTACTTTCCTAAAGGCATTTTCCCATTACCGACTTTCCCAAATGTGAAATTTACCAAGAGGTAACTTCCCAAATGTACATTTAAGGTTAAGTTAAGTATTCTGAGGCGCAGCAGGCTGCTTTGGGAGGGTGGGCCTAATGCTGAAGCTAGAATAGGCCTAGGGCTGAATGCTGCGGCTAGAAAAGACTAGGGAACCAAGCGTTGCGTCTAGGACAAAATGAGGAAGTTGCCGCTTGGGTTGCACCTTTGGGAAGTTGACAATTGGGAAAATACCCTGAGGAAGTACCTCACATCATTTTCTTTTCACAGATTGTCATTTCATGTTCGATTCACAGTTGTGCCTTTTTTCCAATATAAAATAAATGAGACATCAGTGTTTTAAATTTGAATCCAAAATAATATAATGAGTTGAAAAAATCCCTGATGTCTGTCTCAACCTTGGTGGATAACTCTGTAAAGCTTCATTTTTGAAAGTCGTGGTTTTAATCTTCATAATTCTAGGACCATATGTATAAAAAGAAAGCAAATGCATTCAAAATTGTACTGGTTGGTTTGACCCAGTAAAATATATTTAAACTTCTTTTGCTTGAAAATATCTGCAGAAGAAGGGGGGGGGGCTACACCTACCCCCTCCCCTTGGAAATGAACCTGGTATATGTGATGTCAACATTAGTGATTCCTGCAGAAACTTCCCCATACAAAACCTTTCCGATTGTTCCAATCCATAATCCTACAATCAATCAATAAATTAATCATACAATCAAACAAGAAATCAATTAATCATACAATCAATTAATCAATTAATCATATGTTAATCAATCATCCAATCATAAAATCAATGTATCAATTAACCATACAATTTATGAATCAATTAAGTAACCAAAATCCATCAACTAACCCTACAATGAACCAATCAATTAATCATAAAATCAATTTATTAATTTATCTCCTACAATCATTCAATAGACTTCAGTCAATCAATTAACTAATCGTAAAAGCAATCAACCAATTGATCATAAAATTAATCGATCAATTTATTATACAATGAATAAATCAATTATTCATACAATAAATCAATAAATTAATCCTAAAATAAATCAATCAATTAACCATACCATCAGTCAATCAATTAATCCAAACAATCAATCAATTAATAAATAATTCATACAATCAATCAATCAATTAATCATACAATAAATCAATCAATTAACCATAGGATCAGTCAATTAATTAATCCTTACAATCAATCAATTAATGATTCATACAATCAATTGATGATACAATAAATCTATCAATTAACAATATGATCAATCAATCAAATAATCCTACAACAATCAATCAATCAATAATTCATACAATCAATCAATCAATGAATGATACAATAAATTAATCAATTAACAATATGATCAGTCAATCAATTAACCCTTACCATCAATCAATCAATTAATGATTCATACAATCAATTAATCATACAATAAATTTATCAATTAACAATACGATCATTCAATCAATTAATCATACAACAATCAATCAACTAATTATACTATCAATCAATCAATAAATCCAGTAGCAAATTCTAATGCATGATATCATAAATGATATAACGATTTCCACAAAATAAAGTTTAATACAGGACTGGGCAATGTTCCTGAATTGAAGAAAGTACTTTAAAGCTTTGTCAGAACAAGTTTAATTAGATATCCATGTTTTTGTTATTTAAAAACCGATTGATTTATTTGTGTTGTGCACATTTCTTGCTACAAAAAAGATTAAAAAATCATAAAAATTAAACACTTTTCAAGTGGGAAAAACGTTATCTTCCATATTATTAATCAGATGAAGATTCCAAGGGTACTCTACGATTGAATCACCCATTTTTATTGAAATTAAAGTGATCATATACTCACATATGTATTTTTAAAGTGTAAGACCTGCATAGAACTTTCATATGATGATAAGTAGGTTTTGCAAAATTTTGCTAATTGACGAAAGTTTTTTTTAACTACCGGAATAACCACTATTGCTAATATCTATACCTGTTTCAGGACTAATTAATCCCCAGGCAAAGTTAGCATTTACCCATTCTAGGTTTAAACCTTCTTTCTTAGCAAACACTTGCATAATAGATGGTTCCGGTCCTCCCTAAAAGTAAATAAATCAGTTTCTTTCTGCTCTTGGCAGTGGCTCCCAGTTAGGATGAGCGCTGGGTAGAATTAATCATGACTCATTCTACAGGGGAGTAGCGAAACAAAGGATTTAAACGTTGAAGGAGTGTGGGCTCTCTCTCTCTCTCTCTTCTCCTTTCTCTCGCTAGGAAACAAGAACTCCATCTTCAGCTTTTCTCTGGCTTAACATCTCAGTTGAAAGAAGGAATACAGAAGTATAACCTCTGATAAATAAACAAGCCATGAAAAATTATACCATTTTTTTACTTGGCAGGTTGTGAGGACTGGATTACTGTGGAGGACTCCACCTAATGGGGCTTTGAGGCTTCAACTCCCCATTTTGTATAATCAGTGCAGTTTTGTGTCCCCTTTATTCCGCATAAGTGGGAATCACTTTAAAACAAATGCTTCAATTCTACTGAAATCCCTCATACACTTCCTCCTCAAAACTTACTTATCCCTTTCCTTTCTGCACCACAACTCGATGTCACAAGTACTACTTGGAGAGGCATCAAAACATAGAAAATACCCCAGTCAGGAAATAAAGTTCTGAAAGCAGCCTGATCCACTCTGTCAGCATTTCTGGTTAAAACAATAAATCTATTAGCTGAATCAGTATCGACTCAGCTAAAAAGAACACACAAAATCATACACTGACATTTGTAACCAAAACAGAGATCAGAAAAATAGGAAAGAAGGAGCCTATTCACCTAGTTCTAAGCTAGCAGCCCAGCAACTACTAGAATGTGGGTAACCCCGTACATGTATGTATTTATGCTTTCCAAAATCAGTCTACCTCAGCGCATTGTGCTTTTGATATCTTTTCAAAATCAAAATTTTGACTGAGACATTGATTCATTGCTACGAACTAAAATATTCTAATCTCTATATCAATGTGACTTTAAAATTTAACAATTGATTTTTAAACTTAAATTATTTAATATAAATTGTCCTTCAAGTCCTTAAACCGCATATGGTTTCAAAGATATGGGAATTATAAAAAATCAGAGAGTGTGGCTGTGTTTACAAAATCTTGGATCATTCTAGAAATTGTCAAATTATTTCTTTGACTATCTTTTATTTACAATATTGTAGAGACTCTATATTTGATAGAAGCAGAAAACTAACATTATGTATTTATATATATATATATATATGTATGTATATATATTTATATTTATATATATTGATTTCTAAAGATACAAAGATATTTTTTATACGTGGAAATTACAGATATAGTTTGGTTTGGATTCCATACTGGAAGACGACAATCATTTTTTATTATTCTTTATTTCTGAACCTACCATCTTTGTTGGATCGTCGTATATATGAACGTAGGGCGCAATTTTATTGAAGGCAACGCGAAAATTAACCTAAAATTGTAAATTGTTCTGCAGTGGTAGGCAATGACATCAATACCATGAAGACGACTTTCCATTTAAATTGTGATTTATATCAAGCTCTTAAACAACCCGGATACACTGAAGCATAGAAGTCAAGAGAAGCTGCCAATCAAAAAAGGTTCTCTTTGATAACTTGTAAACTTGTATTTAAAAAAAGTTTGTTAACATTCAAAACTTAAATAAAAAAGTAGTCTTCATTGTATTGATATAATCGCCTACCACTGTATGATCATTAAGTCCAGGGTTGCTAACGGGAAATAAGTCCTTGGTTCTTAATAATTTTATACATTTGAGTTTGGTTGGTATGAAGTAAGTTTATATATTTAAAAAAAAGTTTTATCTTTAACATCCTTCAAAATGGTCTAACATTTTTTTTTATCTTTTTAAAAAAGAAAGAAATAGGACTTTAAATGTACACCAAAACAAATGTAAAAACTTACTTTATTTTTCTTTTAATTATGGTGAGTTGTGAATTTTATGAAGAAGAGTTTTTTTATTACTTTTTTAAAATTAAATCATCGCATACGAAGAAAATGCTTACACTCAATTCGCACAAAATTGCAAAATCATATTGCAAAAAAATTGCAAAATCATATTGCAAAATTTTCTTCGCGATCAGACGGAAATTCAGTAAATATATATTTTTAAGAGTGGAAATTCTTAAATTTGCGTTTTTTAACTTAATTCAATAAATTTTAAACCAAGGACATAAAATAATCTTGCCTATAAAATACAAAATTAAACGGGGTAAAAAATCTAAGCTTAAAAAATCTTAAAATTGTATTTACCTTCTTATTCAAGCATTCTACTCCAGCAGTTTTACTGGCAGATTTATTACGTTTTATTGTGATCAAGTTAAAAGCAACATTCATGTGTAAGGTGTGCCCACAGTCAATATTCATGGAAAACTAAATAAATAACAACAAAAAGTCGTTTAAAGCTTTGATTTTAACTTGTATACTGTGAGTAGAGTTGGGATCTTGTTTTTTACTTCGTTTGATCAATGTTCGTGAACGACCCATTTCGTTGATTTTTTATCAATCGTTCAAGAAAAGCTATTTCGTTCGTTCTCAAAATTATCGTTTATTTTCCATTCTTTTCGTTCGTTTTCTCACTGAACGATTGTTTATTCAGTAAAGCGTTCGTTTAGTAAAATAATTCGTTCATTAAAATAGTTCGTTCAGATAAACGATAGTTTTTAAAAAATTTGTTAAAAATAATCGTTCATTCATTAAAAAATATTGTTTTTCTTAAAGTTTGTTCCAAAACTTTTCAATAAGTAAAAATCATGGTTTCAATTGTTCGTTCGATTTGAAAACGCTCGTTTTTTCTTTTGTTTTTAAAAAAACGATAATTTTTTATTTCTCTGTCCGACGAACAATAAAAATTTTGTCGTCTTTTTCTCTCTTAATTTTGAAATATAGATTTGAATTTTTTAATTTATTTCTTCAAAAGTGCCCTCTGAGAGATCGAGATCGAAACTTTTGTGAGGAGTTAATTTTGAATGCTTGAGCTAGATATCCGACGTGAGCGTACTTTTAATTTAAGAATCTTTACTTGAGCTGTCACTAATTAAAGTTATCGCACGACCCACGCATCAGATTGAGATCAATTCTTGAACCAGAAATTTACAAAAGTTTTAACTTCTAAACACTTTTAAAGATTTTTGACAGGAAGGATTGAAAATTGCAAATTTCTTATCAAGTAAAGAGAAGATAAAGGACAACATTTATTTTTTGTTTCTCACTGTATAATTAAAATCTGCACATTATAAAAGGGACTGATGTAGCTTAATTTCAATTGACTCTCTATGCAAAGATGGCAATGGTCATTGCCCAACTTACATATGTATCCTTTAAAGCTTTGTCTGATCAAGTTTGAATTTGATGAATGTTTTGTTTCTTTGAACCCTTTTTTATCTTTTTCTGATATCTCTGCAAAAGTGACTTGCGTATTTCCAACATGTTAAGAAACAATTGAGTAATTCACAGAAATAAATTTTTAACGAGTATGAAAAACGACATTATTTTCAACATTTTTTTTCAGATTAAGGTTTCAGAGATAACGTAACAATCGGGCATTGCTATCTTTGAATGGAGGGCAAATTAAAGTTTAGCTTACAGTTTATTTTAATAAATTATATTATATTTTATAATTAATAGTTTTCTAAAATTCTTTTTACCCCAGAGTTTGTGAGCACAACGTCAAGAATTATAAATCTGGTTTTTTCACCAAGTTGAATCCTAAAACATTTTAAGTGTTGATAAAATATCTCATCATGCAACACTGTAAAAGTCGGTTCATTTTATGTATCGTGCCGACTTTCAAGGAGCTGGCTCCACCTGTACAGTACACGTACAGACTTTATAAGGCAAAACGGGACGGTAGGCCAAATGAACCACCTCCTGTATATTGCAAGAGTAAAATGTATAGCAATTAGCTAGAATTGAATCTTCAAGTCGAAAAGGCCAAACCAATTCGGAGAAAATTACATTTTGAAACTACCATGAGACTCAGGGATGACATGACATGAAGTGTCAACTAACAGCTTCTCCTTGTTTAATTGTAAACTTGTAATCTAATAAAGCTTGTTAGAGCACAAAACTTAAATCGAAATGTCGTCGTTATTGTATTGATATAAAGGACGACCACTGTAACCTAGGTTGTGTAGAACGTCTGATAAATGTAACGAAGCAAAGTGCTGTTGGACCACACTTCTCTTCAATATCTCTTACATCGATATTTCTCAAGTTAGATCTGGAAAAAACATGTTTTTAAAATTATTTTAAAAAGAAAAAACATTATTTCTAAAAAAATGCTTTTATTGTAAAGGGATTTGAGCTTTTGCCAAAAACTTTTTAATCACTATATCTTTGCAACCTAATATCGTAGATCTTTGATATTATGAGCTATATGTATTTTCATAGATCAAATAGTCTAAGTTTTAAATATCAAAGGTTTACACCAACAGGTTGCAAAAATTCAGGGATTAGAAAATTTGAATTTGTGACAAAAACTCAGTTCCTTTGAAACAATTTTTACAATTTTCAAGACAAACAAGAATATATTTTTTTTTATAAATTACTAATTACCCAGAAATAAATATGTTAATATTTCGAGTTGTCATTGTTTCGTCTCTGCTTTTCAAATCTTAAGAAAAACAAACAACAAATTCATTTTGTTTATTTTCATCCCGTTCGTGTTCGTGTTCGTGTTTGTGATCGTGTTCGTTTTCGTGCTCGTGTTTGTGTTCGTGTTCGTGTTCGCGTTGGTGTATGTGTTCGTGTTCGTGTTCGCGTTGGTGTATGTGTTCGTGTTCGTGTAACCAAATAGAAAAAAAATATTATATTTCTAGTGATGTGTTCTAGATAGATTAGATACACAAATATATATCTATCTATCTATATTTAAAGGTACTGTCGCTAAAGTTTTAAGTGTCCCTTCATTACAAGATTCACAAGTTGTCCGATTCACAACGATACCCTTGGAACTTATTCTTGTGTGAGATATAATGTCTTTTTTAAGCTTGGAAATGATTAAAACGTTTTCCCTCATATATGGATATATATATGTCAGCTAAAGCCGGCGAAACGGCTGGACCAAATTTTTTGTTTTGTTGCATAGGCACTTAAGCAAGTCATTTTTGTAGAGAAGTCACAAATGAAATGATAAATTTTTATATCAAATAATTGAAATACTTGATGAGAGAAATCTTTAAAGGGTACCGTTGTAAATCGGACATGCCACCTAATTAATGGACTAAATGACTAAAAATTACGTTTACTGTCCCTTTATCTATATATAAATTTGGCTTGTTTGTCTGTCAATTTCTCGAGACAGGAAAATCAGATCAAACTTTCATGGGGCGCGATCAAGAGCTAAAGTGATTAGCTTTCAGTCTATACCCCCTTTCATTTTTCCTTTACAGTCCCTTTAACAGCACAAAACCTCTGACCTCAGTACACTTTTTTTTTAATAATCTTCAAACATATTGCAATAAAAAAAACAACAAATTATTGAAAAGGATTAGATCAATTAATCAATTAATTAATTAGTTTTTACCATTGATAAAGTAGCATCCCTCCAATCCACAAACTGTATCTAAGTCGTCTTTTCTCCATCCATCTCCCAAAACTATCTACTCCGTTTAGAAAATTCAAAATATTAAAAAAATTTTCAAGAAACTGAAAGCATAATTTCAAGTGACCCTCCATTGAAAGATGGCTATTCCCGATTCCCAATGTTACCGTCCCATGAAACCCGTTAATGTGGAAGATATTGTCGTTTTTCTAGATTTAAAATTGTTTAATTATAATATTCTTGTTAATTTCAAGTGACCCTCCATTGAAAGATGGCTATCCCCGATTCCCAATGTTACCGTCCCATGAAACCCGTTAATGTGGAAGATATTGTCGTTTTTCTAGATTTAAAATTGTTTAATTATAATATTCTTGTTATAAGTTTTCCAGTTGTAGAAATGCGCAAGGCACTTTTTTAGAGAAACCACAATTGAAAATCCAACTCCAAATTATAAATACCGATATCTAAATCATACCGGATCAGATACAGCTCCTCAGGGTTCCTTTGTAAATCGAACTTTGCCCTGCAGGGTCACTTGAGATTTCGTCTAAAGTCCCTTTTGGTTTTTTATAATGAGAAAATGAAATTCTAACAATAATTTTACAAGAACAGTATGTTTCTTGTTAGACAATGGAATATAAACTCATCTAAAATTGATTTAACTTTGCTTTAAATTTTTTTTTAATATTTCATTCGTTGTGTAGTTCTATAGATTAACAAAAGGAGATTTTGAATAGAAGGAGGGGGCGATAGGGTTTCCGTACACTTTGCTGTGACGTTTTGGACTGCTGAAGAACTAGTTTTTGCGTAACAACAATAATAAAGATTGTAAACAATAACACAAGTAATAAACAGACATCTAGGAGTGGGAGGGGGCAGGATAACCTTGAATTTGATTGAAAATGTCTCTGTAATAAGGTCCTTTTCGTATAAAACTAAAATCCTAACTTTTTCAATCTTTTTTAACAAGATTTAATACTACTTTCACAGTTTACTAACTCATGTTTGGTTACATTAGATCGGCTGCTTTTGTTATTGTTGTTACGCAAAAACTAGTTCAGCCAAAGACTTTGCTAATTATAAAGACAAGGCGTTGGAACTTTCTCCGACTATTGTGTACACTAGTACAGCTGTATTTTGACGTCATTGGTTATTTTGGTTGTTTGAGAGTCTAACGCTCGACATTAAAACCTTAGATATTTAACACAATTGTGAATGTTTAGTGCTAAAATTTCTCTAAAATTAATGTTATTAATTTGTATTTTAAAATCTATTTAATCATTTGTTGGATATGAGGATCATCTGGTGAATTATTGCTGAATTTGTGATAAAGTTACGCATCTATTTTGTATCAAAAATAGCCGATAATTTTTTGTGAAAATTTTCAGATGTCGTCAAATATTCTTTCTGAGGTACTATGGAATGGAATTTTAGGCGATGAAGAAAAGAGGGGACCAGAAATGTCCAATATTATAAACGGTAAATAAATTTTGTGTAAATGTCGTCTTCTGTTTAATCTTAGGCAAAGAAAAATATTGCATAAATTAATGTATTAATATTAATCTTATTCTTTAATTGATTTATGGGGATTTTGTTTCAAAATATCCACCATTAAAGAAAAAATATCACAGAAAGGTTCGTTAAAAATGCGAATTAAAGGACGACCTTTTACTTAGAAGTCTTTGAAAGTTGATTGCATAAATTTTGAGGCATGAATTATTGGAGGATTTTAAAGACGGAAAAAAATAAATACATTGGTGAAAAAAAACCTAAGGAATACGAAGACGACTTTTAGACTCAATTTACGATTAAATAGTTTAATGAACGTTAAAATACCTCTTTTGAGCAGATAACAAGTAGATTGTCTAATTATAAATTATGTCATTTTCAAATTCTATGTTTACACATTATCACAGTAAAAGATCCAAGAGTATGTGAAAAACATTTCAAACCCTCTGATTTTAAAAGTAATTTATAGTATAATAAATATTACAACGTTAATTTAGTAATTCATTTAAATCAGGTAGAGAGAGAATTCCTTCTTAAATGAAAAAATGAGATACTTGATTACTGTTAAAAAGTACAAGGTTACAATTGCATAAAAGATATAAGACTTGATTGGTGTATGGTTGAAATTTAAATACCAAGATCTTATAGGTTATTTTTTTTATAAACAATTAATACTTCAAACCAAAAGTAAATGTTCACAGGGACTGATTATAGTTGTAATTTCAAGTTACCAACCCATTAAAGGTTCTAAAAACAACGGTACTTTTATGGACTAGGGACAAATTAAATATTTCAAGATAGTAAAACTAAAGTGGTTTCCTTGTTTTCCTTTTAAATAACTATTTAATTCATTACAAAAGACGACATTATGAAACGTCAACAGGGTAAATATATACCGGATTTCTGGAGAAGACGACATTACTTACTATCTATGGTAACCCGAGAAAATGCGTCAAATTTGCGTAGATTTTCTGATGCGCTATCTTTAATTAGCAAAGTCTTTGAGTTCAGCAGTCCAAAAACGTCACAGCAAAGTGTACGGAAACCCTATCGCCCCCTACTTCTATTCAATATCTACTTGGATTAACAAACCTTTTGCTTCCCAGCTCCTGTTAGAAACTCTGTAAAAATTGAATTTTTTGTTAAAAAATTAATTTTTCTCAGAAAATTTCTTTAATTTTAAACAGTTTGATTGTCTTTTAAATATCCGTTTCCTTCGTAATATCTGAATTTCATATTTGAAAAAAAGTTAAGAAAATCCATATTTTCCTATTTGGTTGACTAGAAGATCTGTTACACCAACTGACATTGAAGTTCCTAAAAATAATACAGTACACACCTGTACAAAGTCACAGTGTTTCCACCGGAAGCAAATATTCGCTGAAACTTGCGCAATTCCGCGCATATTTGATCGTGAAAATTGCGCAATTTATTGATAATGTATGGGTGCGCAAAATAGGTGATAGGTATTGCAACTTACACAAATTTAAATTTTTCTAATTAATAAAGAGTTTATTTCTGATAATTTCTTCATTGTGCTTGAAGCAATAAATGGAAAAGTAACTTTTGTAGAGAAGCACAAATGAAAAAAATCAGTTTCCAAAACCAAAACCAAAACATGAATATATAATGTATACTTGATCGGACGCAGTTTTTAAGGGTACTCTTGTGAATCAGAGACTTGACACTCCTTGATCATAAAGAGTATCTTGATCTTGATCATTAGTTTTCCCTTATTATTGGTAGACAGACAATAACACCGTGTTTTTTACAAACAATTTAATGTTTAATGACCCCAACACGCCATACTAGAGTAAATTTCACGTCACATTGAAATTTTTGATGTTTTAAATCAGAACTTCTTTTTTGGAGAGCAATTTGACTAGTTAGCAGTGCCTGTAATGTATTCGATCTAATGTTAAAAACATAGAACTATTTGTAAATTAGCTAATATTTTGACACGCATTAAAAAAAACCTTTTCGGCCGTAAACTTGAAATAAATAATGAAAGAATTTAATTTTTTACCAAAACAAATTCCCAGTATTAGAAGACGAGACCTCAGCATTTTCAAATCAACTGATTCTAAGAATGTACTGACATTTGTTCTTATACCAGCTTTATACCTCTGAAATAGTTAAATCTTCAATATTCAATTTGATGTCCTATAATCAAGTAATTAGTTTCAATTTGAATCCGGGAAAGTTCACCATTACTTACGAAGGATGAGATGACTGTTAACGTGTAAAACTCTTTTAAAATATTGATCTTAACTTCTCATAGAGACTTTAGGCGATCGTAATTGATCGAGTGACCCTCCATGCAGGAGGGTAATGTCCAATTTACAACGGTACCTTGCAATCCGGACCCTTTGATCGATCATCGAAGGCAGTAAACTCTGTGTGTTTATTTCTAAAATTATAGTGTTCAACTTGACGTAAAACTGGATGGACGCTAGCGTACGGTGTTACTGATTTTCCTCGAAAATACCGTTCAACGAAATTTTTAAATGCAAACATTTAACTTTTTAAATAAAATTATGAAACTGATTATTAAATAAAAACAACCAATGAATCGAAGTGTTCAACAATTACGAGCGTTTCTGTAGATTAAAAATGAATTCTGTAGATTCAAAATGAATTCTGTAGATTCAAAATGAATTCTGTAGATTCAAAATGAATTCTGTAGATTCAAAATGAATNCTTTTTATGAGATATATTAAAAACTTTTTCGTCAATAGAAATATATGAATTTAGCCATTATAATTGAACCATTAATAAAAGAATATCTACAGAATAAATTCCGTGCATTCGTCTCTGAAGTCTCAATCTTTGTAGTTAACCCTAAATCTATAGATTAGGCTGGGGCAAAGCTATATATCATTATAACTGTATGGTACAGCAGTTAAGGTATGCTTCCTTTATAGCAGTATAGATTAACACCATAACATTTTGTATCTGCATTTTTTCCATTGCAATTCTCGCGGATTTATGCATTCGAAAAAAGTAGAAAATTAAAGGGAATTAATATTTTTTTAAGACATAGAAATGACGACATCTTCCTACTTGAAAATCCAGTAGAATACATTATTTAATGAGAAAAGAGTTATAAAGAAAGTTTAAAAAGTAAAGTCTCAAATGTTACGTTCTAATTAAATTACAAAGGTTATGCCAATAAATCACAGAACTTATTCCATTTTCAAAATACTTTTGTGAACTTTTTAGCGTAAATTTTTTAATCAAAGGGACTTAAAGCATCCCTCCATGTAGGGTTATTCATCGTTTTTGAAAACGATCATTAAACGATCGTTTTTCAATCGTTTTGAACTTTTATAAAGCGAATGACGATCGCTTTTTAAAACGATCGTTTTTTGTAAAAATGATTTGCGAGCGTTTTTTATACGATTGTTTTTTTTTAACGTTGGCTTTTGTTAAAACTATCGTTTTTGAAAAAAAAATGTTATTGACAATTATGTTAACGATCTTTATCGAAGAGTTGTCGTCAACGATCGTTAACGAAACGACGAACTTAATAAAAACGGTCGTTTTTAGAAAAAAATATTTTTTTTAAATGACTTGCAACTTTGTTGAACGTCGTCTTACATAAATTTAAAAGTTGCGGGGGAGCTAAAACTTCTTGATATTTTCTTAAAAACTACTCAATGATAAGTACAGATACCCTTTAGGTCGGTTTCCTTTCTTCGTTAACGATCGTTAAGGAAGGGTCGTCGTTAACGATTTCCACCGCTACCCTTAAATATTTGTCCGTTAAACTATTACTTAAATATCAATGTTTTTAAATTCAAAAAAAAAAATATTTTTCAAGTAATTGTGGTTTTTTTCCATTTCTACTGCAGCAAATCTTTGTGAAGAAACAATCTCAAGAACTGACGAGGGTCAACCCAGACCGAAATATATTTTCAATAAATGTGGAACTAACATCTACTTTTTTACTCTACATAGGTTTGGTCCATCACCATCACTGAATTTTAAATCATTTAAGAATTGACAGAATTAAATATTTTCAAACCTATAAATATAACAATGTCTTCCACTTCCACATTATCGATCAAATAACCGGTTCAAGGGTACCGTTGTGAATCAGGCAATGCCATCTTTGCGTTGAGGTTCACATGGCATTTAACGTACAGTCCCTTTAAGTTTGAATAACACCCTTAGCGCTGTATTTTTGGCACATAACTCTCCACATCTGTTCACTTAATATGTCTTACTAAAATTAGTCCATAGTCCGTACCAAAAAAAAACGAGTACTGACTAGGCATTGGAATTGAACAAACCGTGCATTTAGGCCTTAGCAAACATTGCAAGAAAAAAATTTAAATCTGTCATATCATTCTGATCGGACGGTTTACTATCGAAGAAATACTTAAAATGTTAAACTGTGGAGATCCGTAGATATCGTCTTCTCGTCCGGAAGCTGAACTAACCAAACCAAATATATAAAATAGATTTAAATACCCATTTTGTAAGTTATATTTCAATATGCTTTTAGTTCGTTTATTTTGGTCCTTTATTAATCGCTACAAACCCTTCTTAAAATTATTAATAGTTTAATAAGCTAAGGACGAGAAGCATTTTAAAAAACTACTCTTTATTTTTGTTGTACTCTTATTCGATCAAATTGTATTTAAAAGGTTTGAATATGAAAATGAGGTGAAACTTGTGATTTTTGATATTTTGTAGTAATTAGCCGATATCAAATCGTCCGAATTGTATGGAGGATTTTTAAATTCTTTTTGATGGAATCATGTATTTAGATTTTATTGGATGGTTGGCTGATTTCTAGAAAAAGTCATAGATCATCCCTAGTCGTCAGTCGACATGGTGACTTTTACAATGTTCGTATATATTGTGTAATAATTGGTTTGAAGGTTTAACGATAAAAAAGATCATAAACTTTATTTGGGTGTCGAGCAAATATTTACATATCTAATAAAGTACAGTTTAACCCGGAACTTCTGAGGTTTAGAAAGAATTTATAAAATGTCGTTTTAACAATTTTTTAATGGCGGAAACTGTTTTAAAGAGCTCCATATAATTATTCAATTAAAAAATAAATATTTGTCTCTAATCAGTAGTATAAGAAGACGACATTTTATAATTTTTTTACTCCGAAGTTCGGGGCTAAATTGTATAACAATAACAACCTTCTTCTCTACAAATGTTTAATCAATTCTGGTATTTGCGTTGGACACGTTTCCTCTGTTCGGTCCTTGCGCTTTTTTGTGTCGATCTTGACAGTCCAAACGGAAGTTTAATCTTTGGAAGTCTAAGAGGGGGAAGATGAACTAGTCCACGAGCATCCCCTGCCCGTTCACCAGTATTTCGTTTTAAAGCAGGTGTTTTGTTAGTTTCAGAAGAAGGGGAAGCTTGTCCCCTAGCAGGAGAAGGGGGTCCAAACCTTTTCTGAACCTAATCAAAAATAACAATTTTAAGAATAAGAATATTATTTTAAGATTATTAATTTCTTCAGTCTTTCAATTCTCATTTTGAAGGTGCGAGAGGGGGGGACATATAAAAAAGAAAGAGGGACCGGGGGTTGACACACTTTTAAAGCTGACCGTGAGATATATATATCCCCCCCTCCCCCCCTCGCCTCCCCCTGCCCTTTAATTGAAGGCCATCACGTGTTTCAATTAAATGTGAACAGATAAATTGTATCAAGGATGTTTTCTTGTATTATCATCATCATGTGTCACTTTAGTCATGCTGGATGGATACAATACTAAACTAATTTTCAAGGAAAACTTTTTTTTATATCTACAGTGTGGTCCATAAAAAAACAGGGAGCGTTTTTAAGTCATAAATATTTTAAGAAGACTCAAAAATGGGCTGTTCACGTAGTTTTTTCTTTTAATTTCAGAAGGGGCCTTTGAAGCAACTGTCGTATGAAGAAGTTTAACGTAAAATTAGTTTGAATGCGCGAAAATTGAGGACCCCAAAATTAGATATTAAAAAATCATGCTAATAAATATTCAAACTGTATATTAGACCTCCCCAATTTAGTCATTTTCTATTGTTGGAGTGACAAAAATATTTCGAGTTCTCAATCCTCATGGTTCCAAAGTTTTCCATGGAGGTAAGAAATTGCATAGTATTTATATATATTTACCCCTGTACTGGCTACTGGCTTAAAGCTAGCTGTAACATTGATATCAAAAACCTCTTTTCCGTTTGTATCTGCAAACTTCTTCTGAACAGGGGACGCAGTAACTATTTCCTAGAAATTATAGAAATTATAGAAATTATTAATTTTTGAACTAATTGTTTAATTGGGTTCCTTTACATCGGGGAGATTTAGTAAATATATCCTAAAAATCATTAACTATTGAATTAATTAATTGATTAAGTAATCTTTTACACAGGGATCTAAAGAATTTTTTTAATGTCGTCAAGTTTTAGACTATTATACAGGGTGTCCCACGAAACATGGCAGTTGATTAATAGCTTAGTATGTCGTCTTCCTACTACTGGATTAGATTTAAAGACTTTTGCAGTTTAGTTCGGTAGAAAAAACTTTTACTCCAATATATCTGGGATCGATTTTACTATAATAAAACTGCCATTTAATGTTCATTTTTATTTTCTTTGGTATTCGCAGATTAGTTCGGTAGAAAAAACTTTTACTCCAATATATATTAATCTGGGATCGATTTTACTATAATAGAACTGCCATATAATGTTCATTTTTATTTTCTTTCATATCAAACCATTTAACAAATTATGGAAGAAGACATTTTAAAATATTCAGCAACTGTCATGTTTCGTGGGACAGGGACACCCTATATCTAAATCTCAGAAATTGTAAAGATAAATAGATAACCACGAAATTTGCTGGAACAGATTTAAAGAGCTCCACGTAATAAAGTCTATCGGTAGTCTAAAAGTTCTGTGTAAACTGTATATTGTGGACCCAGGCCGGATGTTTTATGTGCAAAAAAACAAACTGGCTGCAAAAAATGTACTGTCCTGTTTTGCCTTTAATAGTCTGTATTATTCTCCCGGCAAATTTATTTAGTTGTTCATATGTCAGCCCTGTGCTTTAAATGCATTTAAAAAATGATTACCTGTGAATCGTCAAATATGGCATGAGGGGTTTTAAGAACCTCAACAATCTTAAGTTCTCCCTGGGGGAGCTGTTTATAGTTTTGCTCCTGAACTGTTCTGAACTCCTGGTTTTGCCCTGGAACAGTTCTGAACTCATGTTTCTGCTCTGGAACTGTTCTGGACTCCTGTTTTTGCTCCGGAACTGTTCTGTACTCCAGTTTTTGCTCTGGAACTGTTCTGTATTCCTGTTGCTGCTCTTGGACAGTTCTGTATTCCTGTTGTTGCTTTTGGTCAGTTCTGTATTCCTGTTTTTGCTCTGGGACAGTTCTGTACTCCTGTTGCTGCTGAGGATTTCTCCTATATTGATGATTCTGCTGATGAGGATTGCTTCTATATTGATGGTTTTGTTGAGGGTTGGTTCTATCTCCAGAACTAGACCTCTCCGGAGACTTGATCCTAAACATTGAAATTCATAATCAATTATTCTCTTTTAACGATATTTTTTATCAGACTAGAACTGAGCTGGGAACTCTTGTATTGTGAAGACCAATATATCAATGCTTTATCTCGATCTTTTCTTAATCCGCAGATTAATTTAATCTTTATTCGATATCCCGCATGTTAAGGTACAAGAGCTCACATTAAAGTTTTTTGTACATTTTTGAACATTTTCCGTCTATAGTAACTGTTAAGATTTCAGTTAAAGGTATGATTATTAAAATTAATTATGATTATTATAAAATTAATGAAGTTTATGCAGTTTAAAGTTTGCCATTTTGGCTTGGTAAGTTGTGCATACCTTATTACTGGGTGTTTCTCATTATTGCGTTGTGGAGCTTGAACTGGAGCTCTGAAATTCTTAGCTTCATATTTATGTTCAGGTTTAGGTTCCTGTAGGCTAGGTTTTTTAGTTGAAGGTTCAGGTTTTCTCTCCTGTATCTCAGCCTTGAAGGAGTTAAACTCTTGTTTTTCAACTACCTTCTCCTGGTCAGGTTGATATACATTGGTTTCTACAGGTTCGGGTTGATAGTCCTTACTGGGTTGATTATACGGTAAGGAGGGTTCAACAATTGGAGTATTAAATCGTTCAACTAGAGTGGGAGGTTTAAAGGCGCTCTTCTTGATGTCTTTTATCTTCGGCTTCGGGGTGGAATAGATCTTAGGTGTGTCTTGTTCTAACGGCCGCGAGTTAAAAAATGTAGGAACGTCATCCTTGAAGTATCCGAGGTTATCTTGAGGTTGTTCAACAGCCACTTGTGTATCTCTAGAGGCTGGGTTGGAGTTAAAAGAGGGTGGAGATGAATCACTTTTTGAACTCTCTTTCTTGAATTCAAAACCGGAATTTCCAAAGCTAAAATTTTCTTCTGAGAAAACGTTTTCATCAAATGAACTGAAATGATAAAAAATAAAGGAAATGCAAAACAAAAATAAATTAAATGTTCAAATTATTACCTCAAAAAATCATTTTTTTCCACATTGTCTGGTTTCTGCACACAAAAAATTAGTTATTAAATTAAAAATAAGTTTGTTTGCTAGATATAAATTTGATATCCCTGTAAATATTTTTGTTTATATTAAATAAACGGCAAAAAGGCTGAATTTTGGGTAGCTCACATTTTCCAAGAAAAACAGTTGGTTCCAAGAAGTTTTGTAAATGCGCCACCGAAAACAAAAAACCCGAAAAATTAAATTCTGTTTTTATTTTATTAAAAATGTTTGATGTGACAGAAAATGTTCAAACTACAATCATATCAAGAAAGAGGATTATATAGAGAAGGATAAAACAAGAAAAAGATTAAAAATTCTAGGCTGCCATTAAACCAATTTATCACATTAAGAAATATGTCTCCAATACACCCCCCCCCCTTACAAAATACCCCTGTTTTGCCACTGTCTTAATTAATTATCAAGAATTTTATATTGTAACCTTGGCTCTCTGTGTTGTAGGGGTGTAGACAGGTTGATACTCCTTCCTGTACACAGGCTTCTTCTCCTGGATGTACCTCTGCTTGTTCTCCTGGTTGTCCCTAGTAATGTGCATAGTTTTCAGGCTCGTTTCTGGACATTTAGTTTATAATGACATTAAATGTGTTACACAAAATATAAGTTATCAAGTAAAATTGTATTCTCTTTGGTCTGACTAGAACATTTTTGCATAATTTCATAAAATATAACTTGTCTAGCATGCAATTTTGAAATAGGATTCACATCACAGATTCTTGAGAAGCCTCTTAAAAGTCTAAAAGCTTTGAATGTTTAAAAACGGGTCTCAACACAATGCTCATCATAGTTGTACCTTGAGTTGTACTCAGACTGATATTCCTGCTGAGGCTGTGGTCTCGAGTACTCTCTTCGGGAAGCTTCGTTGTATCGAGGATAGGCGGGCTAGATTAAAATATCAAAATTCAAATTTCCATTTTTAAATTTTAACTATTTTCTTTTTTAATAAAGTAAATTTTTATTTAAAATTTCAATTTTAAAGTGTTTACATCCTTATAGTGAGTGAAAAGCTAACAACAAAGTTATATTTTTAACTATTTATATCTTCTAATTCAAGTCAAGTAAAAATCCCGTCTTCAAACTTTTATAGAAAATAGCTATTGCTACATTTTAAGAGCAAAATTTTAAAATAATAGTCCACTCGAAATGAGAAAAGTTTCCCTACTTTTGATATTCATTGGTCAATACATGTTCAGGTTGATAGTTTTAGTAACCGATATTTACAAAAGTTGGGTTCCAAAACAAAACCAAAATTCAAATTTTGATGTAAGAAAATGAAAAACTTTAAATTATTTTTAAAATGGTAAAGGTTTTTTATCAAAAGGTAAGAGCTTCTCAAAGTTTGAATTTTGAAGAAGAAATCGTTAATGGTATTCTTCTAGTTCTTGTCATCATTTATCATTGGAAATATGTTAAGTTTTGAACATTAGCACTGTTTGGAACCTGCGTCCCTTGCAAAGAAACAAATTTGCTTTTCGGTTTATTTTTGTACTAAATAAAAACGAAAGAGTCACAAAGTCGCGAAAACTGATTTTTAGAAAAAACAATGAAAATTGAAAACATAAATAGCAACCGTTAAAAGCTAAAATGCTAGTAGAAAAAAGATCACATATCGCCCTAAAAGCCTTTTTTAATTTCTTCTTAAATTACTTTTTCATTTTATATTTAATAAAATACATAAATCGTTGTTGTTGCAAGATATAGGGATTAGAAAATTTGAGTTTGTGGCAAAACTCAGTAATTTGTAAATTTTCCAAATTAAATCGAGAAAATGTTCTAATTTTGTATTAATACTTTAAAAGCTCAGAATAAGCCCCTAGCCCATTTCGCGTACGGTCCCTTTATTAAAAACAAATGCAAAAGTCAGATATAAGCCAATGATGCCCTTGATAAGGACTTTCAAATCATTAATGTTTGATGTAATGTTGTTTGATGCTGTTTGATATTTTTTTATGATGTTTTATGTTATTTGTTGTTATTTCATGTTGTTTGTTGTTGTTTGTTGTTGTTTGATGATGTTTGTTGTTGTTTGATGTTGTTTGTTGTTGTTTAATGATGTTTGTTGTTATTTGATGTTGTTTGATGTTGTTTGTTGTTGTTTGATTTGTTTGTTGTTGTTTGATGATGTTTGTTGTTGTTTGATGTTGTTTGTTGTTAGATGTAATGATGTGATTGAAGAACAAAAACACGCAACCTCGAACCAACAGTTTGCCAAAAAATTTATAAAAACATTTGTGCCTTGTGGCGACATAATTCAAATTAGAAATATACAAGTATTTTTTTTCTACACAATTTGTTTTGGTATTTTTTTGCTCTCAAAAAAGGCAAGAATGTACTCTGTTTATATCATACTATAAATCCATCGATGCTAAAATTTGAATAGAAAAAATATAGATGAAATAATAATCAGACAATAATTCTTATTCATTATGTTGAACAACATGATAAACATCATTAACTTAATTTTTAAATGATGATTTGTCTACCGTAATCAGAACCTAATCGATTCACAATCTTAAATCTTTCATCTTGAATGTTTCTAAGGATAAGTTATGAGAAATGATATATTTTTAATCNCCGAAATTTTAATGAAATGCTATGAGAACCTCTAATTTGAATTCTCAACGCAAAGTTAAACATATTTTACAAAAAAATATTCTTTAGATTTTTGTTTCCTTTTTTTAAACAGCTTTCAAGACAGGGAGAAGAAAATTTAGTGAAGAATTATTGCCTGAAAGGTTAGAGAATTTTAGCATTATGTTTGATGAATTGGTCTTTATGGTTCTATCTATCTATCTATCCACCTACAGCTCAGAGTTTAACTATCAGCTTACAGCCACAGCTAGCTATCCATCCATCTATCTATCCATCAATTAATCTTCGTAACCCAAACTTTATATGCGATTCTTTTCGGCAATCAAATTATGTTTTATATAAACTTTGATAAAAAATAGAATATCAAAATATAATTTACGAAATACAAAATAGAAATGATAAAAAAATAGATTTAAGTAAAAGAAAAAAAATCAGCGAAACTGATTTCTTAGAACCTCTTCAGTACTCGGAGGGAAACTGTTACATCGAAAACAAATTTCCATCAAAATCTGTTGAATAACAATACTGCATATATTTTTTTAATTTGTGTAACTCATTTCCTTTTTCATCTGTAACATGAACTTTGCAAAAGCATGTTATTTTGGAAAAAAACGGTATCCCCGTTAGTTTTATTTATCTTATAATTTTGTGTGTTTTAAATACAGTGTCACACACAAAGAATGAGACTTCAAAGACGAAGGTACAAAATTAAAACTTTCCGTTTTCTTATAATGATGATTCTCATATGTTGAGAGTTTTAGTTAGTCTTTACAGTCGCATCTTTTGTGTGTAACCCTGTGTGTAGACACATAGTTATTCTACAGTCTTCGTCGCATATATCAATAGAAGACGACTTTTAATTCTATTTTACTTTAAATTTTTACCAAGCTTTCAAACAGCATGAATATTGAATACACATAAACAAGGAAACACAGACAAACTGTTAGTTAACAGTTTCTCTTTGTTTCATTGTAAACTTGAAATTTAAAGCTTGTCAGAAACCCCGACCTAATTAGAAAAGTTATCTGCAATGTATTGATATAAACGTCGACCACTGTCCGTGTATAGTACAAGCGTACCTGAGTTTTGGTTGGGTTGTACACAGGCTGGGGTGGAACAAAAGACGGGGTATAACTAAACAAAAAAATTAAATGATTTTTTAAAGAAATGGTTGAAAATAGAATTTTAAATCCACTTGACTGTTTTAAATCTCTGAAAGTAAAAGTTCCGAATAAAGGACCGTAAATTTTTCTATTTCATTAAAAGACTTTTTTAATTTATTGGTTCCAAATTATGGAATTGAAAAGTATTTTAACCATTTTGTTCCAGCTTTGTAAAAGCGTAGTTAAACTACATCTCGTTAATAATTAATTCTGATTTTTAAATTGGTAAAATAAACTTTAATTCGTCCAAGGTTTCCCTAGATTGGACAGAGCTGGGAACTTTTTAATGCGATATCATTAATCCCGATCGGTGAATTAATCTGGAGGTTAATAACAAGACGAGAACAAGCACTATTTGATCTGGAGATTAAGAAAAAGAGTGGATCAAGCATTAACCCCGATATCCACCATTCAAAAGTTCCCAGTTCAGGTTGATTGCGTCCTCAGCCAGTTTGGCTATTTCCTATTCACAACGGTACCATAAAAAGCTTTGTCTGATCAAGCATTAATTAGATGTTTATAATTTGTAAACCTGAATATGATTAATTGTGGTTTCTCACAAATTAAGTCACACTCACATTTCTACTGCAGGAAAACATGGGGAAATTCTGAGAATTGAACACACTATATGTGAACCGATGATATCTTCCACATTATTAATCAAATAAAGGTTTCAAGGGTACCGTTGTAAATCAGATATTGTAAGCTTTGCATGGATAGTAACTTAGAAGTCCGCTTGCAGTCCCTTTAAGAGATTGTTTTTACTTTTTTTTAGCACTTTATTTGTGACAAACATTCAAGCAAAAAATCGATTTTTCATGATCATGACTAATTTTGATTAACAGAAATATGCTTTGCATGTTAGTTTTCGAATGATATGAAGAGTTAATAAATAAACACAGTACACTGTACAGTGTACATGTTAGTCAACGAATAATACCAAATGATACAGTGAGTGAATAAATAAGTACTGTAGTGTACAGTGTACATGCCAGTTAATGAATGATACAGAGAGTGAATGATTGATTGCTGCATGACTACTGAGTGATTACGTGAAGGCCGATTAGTAAGTTTTTATCCCACTGGAATCCAGCGTCGAGAGAATACATAAGTATACATTGTACACTTTGTAGTAAAGGGACTGTACGAGTAATTTCAAGTAACCTTTCAGGCAACGATGGCAAGCTCGATTTACAATTACAACTGTACCCTTGAAACATGATCAAAAATGTGAAGGATACTGTTGTTTTCATGACTCGAAAAGTCCCTAATTCTGATAAGTTTTCATCTCTTCTTACAGCTGAGAAATGCAGAGAAACCGCAAAGGCAAATAAACAGTGGATGTATAATTCATACTTGATGACAAAGCTTTTATGGGAACAGCAAATTGGGCAATGCCATCTTTGCATGAAGGTTTACTTGAAATTACGCTTAAAGTTCCTTTAAAGGATTTTCAAAGTACGTTCAAGTGGCAACTCGCATTTAATATCAACAATGATAAATCATCGTTATTCTAACATAAATTCAGTCAATCTCATTTTTGTTTCTGTACTGCATAAATCCGCAAATCAGTTTTACAAAGAAATTAAAAATGAAAAGTATTAAAAAAGTTTGTAATTTTTAGTTTCAACGGTACTTTAGTGAATTTAAGGAATGAAAATTACATCGACAAATTAATTATGTTTCCGGTTGTGCTGTAACACTGTGGGGTCACACTGTGGTGTAACACTGTGGGGTAACACTGTAGTGTAACACTGTGGGGTAACCCTGTGGGGTAACACTGTGGTGTAACACTGTGGGGTAACACCATGGGGTAACCCTGTAGTGTAACACTGTGGGGTAACACTGTGGTGTAACACTGTGATGTAACACTGTGGTGTAACACTGTGGTGTAATACTGTGGGGTAACCCTGTAGTGTAACACTGTGGGGTAACACTGTGGTGTAACACTGTGGTGTAACACTGTGGTGTAACACTGTGGTGTAACACTGTGGTGTAACACTGTGGTGTAACACTGTGGTGTAACACTGTGGTGTAACACTGTGGGGTAACACTGTGGTGCAACACTGTGGAGTAACACTGCGGCGTAACACTGTGGTGTAACACTGTGATGTAACACTGTGGTGTAATTCTGTGGGGTAACACTGTGGGGTAACACTGTGGTGTAATACTGTGGGGTAACACTGTGGGGTAACACTGTGGAGTAACACTGCGGCGTAACACTGTGGTGTAACACTGTGATGTAACACTGTGACGTAACACTGTGGTGTAACACAGTGGTATAAATTCAAATTTGTGTGACAAGTTTTGATTTTACGCAGAAGTGTAAGACTAGCAAATTTTGATTATATTATCAGAAATTTAAAACATTTTTGTTCTTCTCAATATCTCTTCAAGAAGAGAAGTTATGATTGAAAATATGTAAGAAGATTACGAGCAATTTACTCTAGTACTTTTGGTCACGGGCAAGTTTATAGGGCAAGTAAAGTTAATCGCTGTTGCGTATTCTCTGCGTACATATTGAAACCAGTTCTCTCTGGGCGGTGTTTGTAAACAAGAATAGATGCATCAGTGTTACTCTAGTATCCTAGGAGGATAAAAGCATTTAATTTTGATGATTTTGGTAATTCACAGAGTAGTTTCCTATGACCAGAATATTTCATTGATTTTTTATGTGAAAGATGGATCCCATGTCAGGCTGTGACATCTCCCCTCCCTCCACATGATTTTGCCCTTTGAGATAGTGGAGTGTGATACATGTCTCTAGTACAAATTTTAAAAAAATCAGACCTTTAACTTTGATGGATAGGGTGCTGGAGAGGTTTTATAAAAAGTTATAAAAAAGTACGACGTAAAAATGTTAAAAATTAATTATATTTACTTTTGACAAAAATTAGCATGTTATGCATGTTAGTGCAACCATATTTCATATCCTTTGCATCAAAATATAAAAAGTGCAAAATTTGTTCAGAACTATAAAAAAGTGAAGTTTTAGTGTAAGCCGTTTTTAGGTTACGGAAAACAAAATACAATTGTCTACCTGTCTAATTTTCTACCTGTCTATTTTTCTAGCTGTATGGTCGTCTAGTTATCTACCTGTACTGTTATCTATAATCTACCTGTCCAGTTGTCTAGTTTTCTTTATCTACCTGTATAATTATCTATAATCTACCTGTCCAGTTGTCTAGTTGTCTATTATCTACCTGTTTAGTTTTCTATTATCTACCTGTACGATTATCTATAATCTACCTGTCCAGTTGTCTAGTTTTCTTTATCTACCTGTACAATTATCTATAATCTACCTGTCCAGTTGTATAGTTGTCTATTATCTACCTGTCTAGTTGTCTAGCATCAACTTCTCTCTTGAAAGGAGATCCTCCTAGTCCTTGAGATTGTTGACCTATTTAAACTAACTTTAATTTACATACAGTGGAACCCATAAAACTATGGAATAGGAAGACAACATTTTAACCCCCCTATAATGATTATTTGATATTGTTAATAGTTTTACAAGGTGCTGCTGTGGAAACTGCAAATGGCTGTGTTTCATGTTCATTAGACCTTTTAAAATCATGACTTGAATCTAACACTTGTTTTCCTATTCCACAGATTTATAGCTCCCACCGTACTAAGACAAAAATGTATAGGATGCTATAAGAATTACTTTAAATCCAACAATTCACTTTAAAGTAATACAACGAATTAAATGAACTGTAAAGGAAAAATGAAAGGGGGTATAGGCTGAAAGCTAATCACTTTAGCTCTTGATCTATCAGATATAACTTTCATGGGTCGCGATCGAGAGCTAAAGTGATTAGCTTTCAGCCTATACCCCCTTTCATTTTTCCTTTACAGTCCCTTTAACGAGTAAAAATTGAATTATCATTATTATACACATTATTATACACAGTAAAATCAACAGAAATTATAAAATAAACAAGAAAAAAAATTTATAAAAGTATTTATTTACCAAATTGTTGGCCAACGTTGGGAATTTGAAATTCGGGGACTTGTTGTTCGCTGAACATTGATAATTTTTATTAAATTAATATTTCGATTTAATTTAACGAATCAAAGGTCGCAAATAAAAAGACATGCACAGAAGTCCTTATCTGGACAGAAAGACAGATAAACAGAAAGACAGCTAGACAGCTAGACAGCTAGACAGCTAGACAG